CAGAGAACGCTAGGAGACATTTTCTTTCATTCTTTTATTTTTTTTTTCCTTTATAAGAGAAGGGTTAAGTAGTCCTACGAATGTATTCTGAATTCCTAAATGTTTACTACAAATGGCTAAATATACTGACTTCTTTACTTCGCCTTGTTATTTTAGGAACTGCTTTCAGAAACAAGGAAGGATTTTGGTTCTTGTCTTTCACAGAATTCCCATAGTGAAAGAAAATGATGACTAGGATTTTAACTAGTTTAAACTATTCACGGAAACATTATTAAGATTCAGGAACGTGGTGACATCCTTTCAAACTAAATAGTTTCTAGGATTTTAGATTTCTAATAAGGAAAAGAAACGCTGACCTCAGGTACCTCCATCTGACTGGGGACTGTCATCCCCACCCCCTACCCCCAGTGCTCTTTTATCCCCAGCCTTTTCTTACTGGATCGCCCTCACCACACGAGAGTCCTTACTCCAATCCTTCCTCTCCTCTGGGATCTCCTCAAATCTCCTCAAATTGAGGGCATCTGTTTGGACCATGCTCTCTTCTCCTGTTTAATGTCCAACACTGACTCCCTTCCTGCAGCACAGAGCCGATTACAGTCTCATTATCTCAGAGCTCTCGGCTAGGGTTCTCGGCATTTCTCGCAGCCAGACAATTCCTCTTATGGATACATACCTATATAAATTCTCATAGATATATATATAAGGAAATGTCAAATATTGACCTGCAAATGTTCTCATTCTTCTCTCCCAGTCTTACTGCATTCATAGCTCTTACAGCTATATGCAGTTACTCACTATGAGTGTCTGTGTGTGTTACATGGGTGGAGGAAGTACATTCAATGCAGAGCAGGTAGCAAAAGCACCAATGCCCCAAAGCGGGATAGCATGGCTGATGAACCTCAGGAATAGCAAGAAGATGCTGTGGTAGCTGGAGTGGAGAGCGGAGGCCAGAGAGCTGTGGGAGATGAGTTTAGGGGGTGGTGGTGGGATCAAATCATGAAGGGTACGGTCAGCCACTGCTTTCCATGTGCTGCCTGTTAGTTACTGGGTCTGCCTCGGCGAAGAAGACTTCTACAGGGATAAGCCTCTGACATAGCATGTGCAGCAATGTTCTTTTCCTTGATTTGATTGCCAAGCTTAGAAGTTACCATCTGTTCAGGAGTCGTTGAATTTCTTGATTATTTAATGTCTGCAATATTAGAGCTCCTGGAAAATGGTACTTTTGTATCGGTCCATGTCCCAGCCTGGAGTGTGAGTCCAGTATTTACTTGTAACAAATCAGCTTCAGAAATAATTAGTGTTTGTCAGACCCTATAAAACACATAATTGGGAAACTATTTAAAATGATTTTGTTGGGACACCTGGGTGGCTCAGTTGTTAAGCATCTGCCTTCGGCTCAGGTCGTGATCCCGGGGTCCTGGGATCAAGTCCCACATCGGGCTCCCTACTCAGCGGGAAGCCTGCTTCTCCGTCTCCCACTCCCCCTGCTTGTGTTTCCGCTCTCTCTGTCTCTCTTTGTCAAAAAATAAATAAAATCTTTAAAAAAAATAAAATGATTTTGTTTGCTACTGTTAAAACCTTAATAAATTGATGAAATTGGCAAAAATTAACTTATATTACCTCTTATTACATTGAGTTTTTTAAAATTTAGTTATAATTTTTGGCCATGTGAACCATTTTTAAGTATGCAGATCAGTGGCATTAAGAACATTCACATTGCTGTGTCACCATCACTACCATCTATCTCCAGAACACTTACATCATCTTACAAAACTGAAAATCTGTCTGCATTAAATATTAAATAATAATTCCCCATTTCTGCCCTCCCCACTTGCAACCACCATTCTACTTTCTTTTTTCCCCAGTTTTATTGAGAAATAACTGAACATACATCACTGTGTAAGTGATGTAAGACATATAACATGTTGGCTTGATTTTATATATATTGTAGAAAGATTATTACAGTAGGTTTCAGGTCTTACATTTAAAGTCCTTAATCCATCCAGTAGGTTTCAAGGATTTATATTTAAGTCCTTAATCCAAGTTAATTTTTGTGAGTGGTGTAAGATATGGGTCACCTTCATTCTTTTATATGTAAATATTCAGTTATCCCAGCACCATTTACTGAAGAGACTGTCTTTTCTCCATTGAGTATTCTTGCCTCCCTTGTCAAATATTAGTTGACCTTATATTCTTGGGTTTATTTCTGGGCTCTTGATTCTATTCCATTGGTCTATGTGTCTGTTTTTATGCCAGTACTAGACTGTTTTGATGACTTAAAACTTTATAGTATAGCTTCAAATCAGGAAGCGTGATGCCTCCTGCTTTGTTCTCTTTTTCTCAGGGTTTCCTTGACTATTCAGTCTTTTGTAATTCTATATAAATGTCAGCAGTGTTTTTTCTATTTCTTTAAAAAATGCCCTTGGAATCTTGATAGGAATTGCATTTAATCTGTAGATGGCTTTTGATAGCATTTCATGTTTTAGCAATATTCTTCCAACCCACGAACACAGGATACCTTTCCATTTCTGTCTTCTTTGATTTATTTTATCAATGTCTTGTTTTCAGAACAGAGATAATTCTTCTTTAAATGGATTACTGTTTTATTATTTTTGATGCTATTGTAAATGAGATCGATTTTCTTCCAGAAAGTTTGTTGTTAGTGTATAGAAGTGCTCCTTATTTTTGCATGTTAATTTTGTATCCCACAACTTTACTGAATTCATTGATTAGATCTGATAGTTTTTTGGTTGAGTTTTTAGGATTTTTTAACATATGAAATTATGTCATTTACAAATAGAGACAGTTTTACTTCTTCCTTTCCAATTCTGATACTTTTTATTTTTCTTGCCTGATTGCTATAGGTAGGCTTTCCAGTACTGTATTGACTAAGTTTGGTCAAAGTGGGCACCTCTCTCTTATTCCTGATCTTAGAGGAAAAGCTTTCATCCTTTCACTATTGAGTTTGATGTTAGCTTCAGCCTTGCTATATATGGCCTTTATTATGTTGAGATATGTTCCTTCTATGCCTAATTTGTTGAGTTTTTATCATGAAAGGATGTCAGCTTTTGCCAAATGCTTTTTTTCCCCCTCTCTCTATGAAATGTCCATGTAATTCTTTTATTTTGTTCTATTAATGTGATTTGTCACATTGGTTGGTTTGCCTAGGTTGTACCATCCCTGCATCCCAGGGATACATCCTGCTTAATCTTGGTGAGTGGTCCTTTTAATGTGCTGCAGAATTCAGTTTGCTAATATTTTATTGAGAATTTTTGAATACATATTCACCGGCAATATTGTATACTGTAGTTTTCTAGTACTGACCTTTTCTGGTTTTGGTATCAGGATAATGCTAGTCTTATACAATGAGTTTGGGTGCGTTCCTTCCTCTTTGATTTTTGGAAGCGTTTTAGAAAGATTGGTGTTTATTCTTCTTAAGTGACTAGTAAAATTTACCAGTGAAGCCATCTGGTTCTGGACTTTTCTTTGTTGGGGGACTGTTGATAACTGATTCAATCTCCTTACTAGTTATTGGTCTATTCAGATTTTCTATTTCTTCCTGATTCAATCTTAGTAAGTTGTATGTTTCTAAGAATTTTTCCATTTCTTCTAGGTTGTCCAGTTTGTTGGTGTATAGTTGTTCATAATAGCCTCTTGTGATCCTTTGAATTTCTGTGCTAACAGTTATAATGTCTTATTTTTCATTTATAATTTTGTCTATTTGGGTCCTTTTTCCTTGGTTAGTGTAGCTAGGGGCCTGTCAATTTTGTTTATCTTTACAAAGAACCAACTCTTGATTTGATTAGTCTTTTCTATTATTTGTCTCTTCTCTATTTCATTTGTTTCTGCTGTCATCTTTACTCTCGCCTTCCTTCTGCCGAATTTGGAGTCAGTTTATTCTTTTTCTAGTTCGTTAAAACATAGAGTTATGTTGCTTATTTGGGATCTTTCTAGTCTCTCAATGTTGGCATATATTGCTATGCATTTCACTCTCAGAATTGCTTTTGTTTCATCCCATAAGTTCTAGTACATTGTGTCTCCATCTTCATTTGTCTCATGGAACTTTTTACCATTCCCCTTTCTGTCTCTATGGATTTGACTATTTTAGATACATCATATAAATGAATTTGTATAGTATTTGTCCTTTATTTCACTTAACATAATGTTTTCAATGTTCATCTGTGTTGTAGCATGTATCAGAATTTTTTCCCCTTCTAAGGCTAAATAATATTCCATGGTATGTATATACCATTTTGTTTATCCATTCATCTTTAGATGGACACTTGGTTATTGTGAATGATTTTGCTTATGAACATGGCTGTACAGATATTTCTTCAAGACCTTTCTTTAATTTTGAGAGGATTGAGCAGGGGAGAGGGGGAGAGGGAGAAGCAGACTCCCTGCTGAGCAAGGAGGCTGATGCGGGAAATGGTCCCAGGACTCTGGGATCATGACCTGAGCCGGAGGCAGACACTTAACCAACTGAGCCACCCCGGTGTCTGTTTTTTGTTTTTTTGTTTTTGTTTTTGTTTTTGTTTTTGATAGTAGCCATCCCAGTGCGTAGGTACAAGGTGGTATCACATTATGGTTTTGATTTGCATTTCCCTAATCATCGGTGATGTTGAACATCTTTTCATATGCTTATGGACCATTTGTATATCTTCTTTGGAGAAGTGTCTATTTAATTCCTTTGCCCATTTAAATCAGATTGTTTATTTTTTTTATTGTTGAGTTTTTGGTGTTCTCTTTATATTCTGGATATTAATCCCTTATGCAGAAAGTGATTTGCAAATATTTTCTTCCATTCTGTGAGTTACCTTTTTACTTTATTGAACGTATTTTTTGATTAACAAAAGCTTTTAATTTTGTTGAAGTTTAATTTGTCTGTCTTAATTTTGCCTTTGGTGTCCTATCCCAAAATTGTTGCAAAACCCAGCATTGTTAGGCTTCTCCCGCCTAAGCTTTCTTATAAGAGCTTAATTTTTTTTTTATCCTTATAGGGTTGAACTTTGGAGAGAACCAAGCAAATCCTTGGGCATCAGCATTGTTGGTGGAAGAGGCATGGGGAGTCGTCTAAGCAACGGTGAAGTGATGAGGGGCATTTTCATCAAACACGTTCTTGAAGATAGTCCAGCTGGCAAAAATGGAACCTTGAAACCTGGAGATAGAATAGTAGAGGTACCCTCTAGTGAGCTTTCTGTGCCAAAGTTCTTCACCTGTTCCATCCTCTTTACTAAGGGAATCATCATCTTTATACTGGTCACTTGACCCAACGTGAAAGTAGAATCTTTTGTGGTTAAAGCATTTCTTTCTTATATGTTCTATTTCATCCATAATTTTTCTCTTTAGTGCATGGTGACAGATTATATATTTCGATTCAGAGACTGATGTTTGGAGATATAACCATTTTAAAAAACATTGGCCCTGAGTTAAAATAATGAAGTTCTATTTGAAAGAACAAAGCAAATTTCCTGGGGAAAAAATGGAATTGTTTGAAATTATGTATACATGCACAAAATATATACATCATAACTAAGTTCTCCAGTGAGATTTTATTTTAAGAAATGCTTTGTCATGATCATTCATTGTAGATTAACTTTGTTGGGTAAGATAGTTTTCCAAGTGAGTCTTTATGGTAAATCTTTTATGCTAATTACCTTGATTATCTTGTACATAAATGCTCCCACCCCACAATCCAGGCTCAGATTTTCCTCCTCCTTCTTCTCAGTGCTGTGCCCATTCATCACTTAGGAGTGTGTGTGTGTTTGTATTTACACACTCATGTATGTGTAACTTTGGTATGTGCAAGAGAAGTATTTGGTCAAATTGTTCCTAATCTCTTAAATCAAAACAAAGTATAATATTTTAAATAGACTTTTCTCCCATGGCCACTACTCATTACTCAGCAAATATTCCTGGAGCAGCTGTTGCGTTCCAGATGCTATGACAAGCTCTGGGCGTTCCGCAGGAAACAAGCACCATGCTTGCCTGTCAAGTGTCACTTCAGAACAGTGTGATAAATTATTTGATCAGAGAAAGTGTAGTTTTAGTTAAGAGGGTAGAGGGAAGGTACCTGACCCAGATTTGCTAAGTTGTCAGGATTTATAGAGTAGAGTAAAAGAGACAACTTCCCAGTAGAAACCAATCACTTTATTGCTATAAGGACCGTGATATATACTTTATACAAGTGATTGTCTCTCATTTTCTAAATCCATATAACTTACCATTAAAATGCATTGATTGCATAGAAGAAGGTTACAACCTTTTAACCACAACTTTAAAATGAACATTTTTAGGATTTATTTATTTAGTCCTTCACTGGTTGATTGTCTGTGAGAGCTGAAGATGAGGAAGATTGAGGCTTGGGAGGACACAAGGGTCATGTCTGTTTTGTCTTGTTTTTATCTCCAACCATTTGTAAGGAAGAATGATGGGCTTGTTCTCTCTTCCTGCATCCTTACCTTTCACTAGGGGATATCTTAGCCCCTTTACTTAGGATACTATCTAAAATTCCCAATTTCAGATTATCACAGGGCAGTTTATTTTATGGCTAATTCACTGTTGAATTATCAGCACCTTTGACTTAAGGAGAAAAAGTAAGAAATATTTATAATTATTTCTGGAAAGGATTGATCACAGTTGGCACCAAAATGTTGTTTAAATGTATTGAGGGAGTTAAAGCATCCCTTTCAAATTGAAAAGGTATTTTGTGTGTGTGTGTTGCAAAGTACTGTGTGCTGTTTAGCAGTGGTTTGTTGAGGGCTGTTATGTATGGGGATTTTTCTAGTAAGTAAGAAAGCTTAGGCCTCTGTAATCCTGGGGATTCTGAAACCTCTGTCTGCCAAGTATTTAGACTAGACTAGTCAAGACCTACAAGGTATTCCATTCTAAGTATATAGAGTTCTTTGGACTTGAGCAAAGATATTTAATGTCCTACTAAATGTTTCCACAAATGGAATATATAGTAGACATGAGTACTAACTTTTATTCTATAAAAAAATGAAAACCATTTTTAATATGCACTGAAATGCATATTACATTATCTAAATATCAACTGGGGGAGGTTTTCAGTTAAAATTCTTTTAAAGATGATGATGTTCTATGCAGAGATCTAATAATTAATTTTCTTTTCCAGAATTGTGTCTACTCTGATTTTGCTATTTTGTTATATATATCCTATTGTGTGATAATTGGAAATGATAAAATGATAATAGTATCCTATAGTTTTCTGGCAGGATTAGCATTTGGCCTTTCAAACTATTTTCCTTCCTATTCATATAGTACGTTAGTTTAGCTGATTATCACCCAGGCAATCCATGGTCAATAAAAAGTTACAAAATAACATTCATTTTCAAGCTATTTATAGAAGAATTACTAGCAAGCACAATTTCTTGGCTTCCAGCTCCTATCATGTCTACTACAAAGATTCTTCTGCAAAACTAATCTTGCCATAACCTGATTTTTCTGAACATCAGAATTTTATTTTTCACTTCAAGCTTCCCTGTACAGAGAGAAACACACAAAGCATCGCCCACCCATTTCCCAAACTAGTCTATAATGGATCGGGAGAAAATGTGTACAGTGACTTTCATGCGAGGCAGTTCCCTTATATTATTTCTTTAATGATTTTGATTTATTAAAGGAACAACGGATAGTGTAAAGAAAGCAGAAGCAGAGCCTTCATGTCAACTGATGATTATTTCAGTTGATTATGGGGACCGAAAGCAAGGTCCAAAATAAGGGACCACAATCTGCTGGACAAATGCAAAGTTCTGGAGTCTCACAAGTAGTCTCAATTATTTTTGATTCTGAAACAGATTTTCCAGGAGCCTCACCCAGGATCCTCAGAACTCCAGATCCACAAATTGTTCTGTTGTTCTATAGCTTCTTGAAATGTTAAGCTGAGGCCTTCCATTGCAGGTGGATGGAATGGACCTCAGAGATGCAAGCCATGAGCAAGCTGTGGAAGCCATTCGGAAAGCAGGCAACCCCGTAGTCTTTATGGTACAGAGCATTATAAACAGACCAAGGGTAAGCGAACAAAAAGGGCAAGGTAGGCAAATCCAAACAATGTTCAACTTGGAGTCTAACATATCAAGGGCCAAGTTGTCTCTAGGAGCAGATACCCAGTCTTGAAATCTCAGGAGACTTGTTAAAACTTTATATATATATATATATATATATTTTTTTTTAGTTGAGTTGTCCTGGAAATCCCTTCTACCGTGTTTAATAAACACTTCAAGTCTATTAAAAACATACAGAAGTAGGATCCATTGGTGGCCATAGGTATCTATATGGATAATTATTAGTATTCACCGTAGTCACAAAATATATGTTGTTAAGAGGAATGTGGTAGAATGACTTAGCTTACTAGTGTATGGCCTCTGAGTTCCTGAGAAGCCAGAGAGATTACATTTTCTTATGTATATATCCTCTAGACAGAATTTCTAACATATGCAATCCCATGATCACCTGTGAATCATCTTGAATGTATTTACTTGTCCCACTGAACATTCTACATAGTGGAAATTTAAGCAGTATGTTTATATACGAGTGATTTCATAACTGCTCCTTCCCAGCCATGATCACTGTATAGCTCTTCATCACTGGATAGCCCCCCGTGGACAGAAACCTACTAACCCATTTTACCATCAGTCATGACAGGTGAAATGGCTTTAAAAATATTTTAGAAAGTACAATGGATGCATTTAATTAATGTTGTTGATGGAGAAGATACTAAGCGAGTCTTTGTGTATTTGATATGCCCTAATGATTCTGAAGATGAAAATAATGCCAAAAGTTTAAAACTATTTTTTTACTATTCCTTCTTTATGTCTCAGTGAAAAAGAGTATTTGCATATGCAGCAGTTCTTAAGCATATTTGGGCCACATACCCCTTGGAAATTTCTTCAGAAACATATGTGTTCACTGAAAAGTTCATGTATCATTTTAGGAGCTTCCTAGATGTTCTGATACTTGTAGAGGTTCTACTTCTGGATTTTAGTGAAAATAAAACAACCCCTGTCATAGTGATTCTCTTTGAAATAGCTGCTCATTAGCTTTGAGGTTTGGTTGTCTTTAAAAGGAAAATGTCAACATATGTGAGGGAAATTAAAAGAACCATCTAAAACTTTAAAATATATAATTATTTTGTAGTTTATCATTTTAAAATTAAGAATATAAGAAATCAGTGCTCAAATGGTGGAAAGAGAGTAGCAAACAGCTCTGTAGCCGAGATCAGTAAAAGTAACTTGTCAGTCTTCTGTGCAGTGGAATTCAAAGTGACCAAATTTATCCTGTTGGTCCTTTCTTTTGTTGTCAAGACAGGTGTAGCTGTGGTCTGGGTTTACTGTAAGAAATGAATTTAGTAGTTCTTAATGTAAGCAGTTATCTTCACATCTGCAGTTTTTAATCATTCAGTTGTTTATTGTTAGGTAATAATTATCCATTCAGATGAGAAAATCTGCCAAATGGTCGGGCTGCATCATGCTGCATTCTCTTCAAATGGTATTCAGTTTGTTTAAATAACTAAAAATCTTTCCACATTTGTTTCCATTTGTTGTGTCAAACATAGATACAGCAGGATGGTATTGGTGAATGGCTGTTTAAGTTAAAACAATTTTTTATGTGTGTGGGTGGGTTTTATTCCTTTTGTTTTATTTTTAATTTCCAACTTTTAGATCATGTAGGACAATACTGTAAACTGCTGAATAGGATTCTTCATAGTACTTTTAAAAACTTAAAACTACAAACATTTCTTTCAATGCCAGTCACATTTTCTAATGAGCTGGGAAGATATTTTTCTCATACACCTGGAAAATATTCCTGTTTTACTGTCTGAGGTATAATGACACTTGATTTTATAGCAATTATTCCAGGAGAAATCTTGCCTAGAGTGACATGTTTAGTCAAGTTACATGTGATAGGATTCAGGGCACACTGCCCCAAAATAGGGCACACTGGCATATTGAATATTTTAAGCTGAAGGAATTTAGGAAAAGACAGCTGCTGGAATGATTCTGACCTCCCCCTTCTCCCCTGATTCAGGTCATAAAAACCCTCATGTGAAAGGTGCCTTCCCTGTACCTGGAGGAAAGGAACATCCTTACCTTCAGAGATGCAGGGGCACTGGGAGGGACCCGAATGAACACACCTTGCTAAGTTTTCCTCCGTTTTCCCACTTAGCTCATACTCTTTTGTCCTATCAAATTTCCCTGACTTTCCACTCTTCAGCAAACCTAGTGTCAAAATACTCCCGTTTAACCATTTCTTCAGGTCTTCACTATCTTATGAAGGCTGTGTGTCACATAAAAGTTAACATTAAATCAATACATATATATAGTTTTCTCTTGTTAATCGGTTTTTTATACAGAGATCCAGCTGAGAACTTAAGATGAATAGAGGAAAGATATTTTTCCTCCTCTGCATATGCATTCAGCTTTGAGAAATCAGAATTACTTTTGCATTTAAAATGAGATATACTGGATTTTCAGTGATTTACTTCCTTGTGAAATAATCATGTCTCCAGTAATCTAAAGGAAAAAAAAAACACAAATACATAAGAATCTCCTAATGGAAAATGTTTTATTTGTAGATGCAATAAAACTTCGAAAAATCTCATAGATAGTCTGAAAAGACAGTCTCTTTCGCATATAGACTATTCAAGAATCAGAACTTCGCAGAACTGAGAATAATAATAATAGTAATATTTAGTAATAAATTCCATACTTACTGATTTAGATTTATTACTGACCATTCCATCAGTTGGACTGCATTGTCTTTCCAAAGGGTAGGCCCTATTAATATGGGCCAGAGAATGTTTTTGTCTTCCCTGTGCTTCTTCTTAGTTAATAATATTTCCATTCCTGTCAGCCCTTAGAACTATAAGAGTTTCATCGTTGATTTTTTAATAAGAAATATGGCCTGTTTCTATAATTCTTTTCATAGTAATAGATCTACCACTTCATTTGCTGTGCTCATGCTGTACTTTTATACTTTGCTATCAGGGCCAAATTCTAATCCTATAAGAGCTGGAAATTGAAACAAATAAAAAAGCAAAACAAAAAACTAGAGCTCTCTCTAAATATTCCATTTCTTGCCCTTATGGTTCTATTTTTTTATTGTTCTACAGAATTATAAAGGAAATATAAAGCCTAAAAATTCTATTTATGAGGATTGGAAATAATTTCCACCTGCCATAGCATTGAGTTATTTTGCCTAGAATATGTTTTTAATCTCTGCCCAGTCATTTTTTCCACCTTAATAAATGATCGTGTTCCTTGGCATTTGTGATCTTTTTCTTTTGTAAAGCAGGAGTTGACATTTAAACTGAAAAGCAGAGAGAAAGTTGAGATGAGCAGAAATGTCATTGTGCCCATTTCTTTTTCCCGTCTTCCCTCTGTAGGAAAAACATTGCAAGAAGAGCAGATTGAAAGGGTAATGTGGCATAAGCTTTAGTACAGGCGTACTGAGGATAGAGTCTTTCCAGAGTGTTCTCCCAGACAGGGTGGTGTCACATGACAACCTCTCCCTACTCTTGATGCTTGCCAGTAGGACTTTTTTATAGACAGAAGTAACACAAACATTTAATTGGAGCCAAAATGAATTTTAAATGTCTGCAATTTCCCCTGAAAGATATAGTCAATAAAAGAAAAAGATAGCGGGTATGAAAAGAAGGAGAATTTATTGTGCTGAGGAAATTACTTTCCTTTTTTTTTTTTTTTTTTTTTACTATGAAAATGCTAAATTTTATCTGGCAGTCATCCTGCCTTTAATATGTATATTCAACTCCAATAGTCCTAGCTCAGGGCATATCTCAAGCAAGCACAAAATCTACTAGAATCACTCTAAGCCAGGACTTCTAATATATTCAAAGCCTCATAAATTCCCCCTAATATGGGAACTTTTATAGGTAAATTAAAAAAAAAAAAATCAATGTTTCTACTCCACAAAAAGTGGGTAGAAATCGAGAACACCCACTGAACAGTGGTTCATTTCTTTAAAATTGTTGATTTCATTTTTTTTTTTTAAGATTTATTTATTTGACAGAGAAAGACACAGTGAGAGAGGGAACCCAAGCAGGGGGAGCGGGAGAGGGAGAAGCAGGCCTCCCGCCGAGCAGGGAGCCCGACGCGGGGCTCGATCCCAGGACCCTGGGATCATGACCTGAGCCGAAGGCAGACGCTTAACGACTGAGCCACCCAGGCGCCCCGATTTCATTTTTTTTTAAACGAAAAACTACCATTGATTCGAAGCCACCCTAATCTCTAGTCTAAGTATGAAAATTTTCCTTCCTGGCAAACAAGGTAAAAGAATCATGAAGGTTACCAGTGAACTAGCAGACAAATGTTTAATTTGCATTCTGGAACAGATAGACCATCTTTTTATTTTACAAAAAAAGCATAATTTGCTTTTAAATGTAAACCAAGAAATTATGGCTTTAATTTTGATACCTGTTCACTGATATGCATGGAACATGGATAAATACATAAAGTGGGCAAAATTTATGTGCATCTCTCTGTGATACTGAAAATAAAAGAAATGTGGTATCAGTTTCACAAATTCACTTCCTTTGTGGCCAGATTGAGATTCAGGTGTAGATGCAGATCACTAGAGGTAAACCTTTAGGTCTTGACTGTTTAATATGACGTTGTTATTAATCTCTAGATCTGACAGGATCTGGTTTCACACTGTTATTTCAATCAGTACTTTGTTCTTAAAACTGAGTTGTGTTGAATACATTTCTTTTGCGCTCAGCGCCTCTTATGTTTCCTTTTAGAAATCCCCTTTGCCTTCCTTGCCGCACAACCTTTACCCTAAGTACAACTTCAGCAGCACTAACCCATTTGCTGATTCTCTACAGTTCAACGCTGACAAGGTTGGATAATGCCATTGTCTTGCCATTGCCTTTTGCAAACGTTTTGTTCTTTGTTACTATGCCTTTGTCCTAGTTCACTGTTTACTAAATTTGGTCAGGGAAGAAAACAAAACAAAACAAAACTGTGTGTTTGGAGTGGGCATGCAAATCCTTTCTTAAGCACATTTTTTTGCCAGAGCATATTCGTTTTTATAGCTGAAATTAGATGGCCCTCCTGAACAGTAAGGGAGAATCGTGAGTCCAATGCCTTTCCTCTATTTTGTTGTGAGTTAAATTTTCTGATATTTAAATTTTTGCTAATTGCCAAATGTATGAACTACTTTCACACAAAAGTTATTTGAAGCCTTGTATTGGTTTAATCCTTCTCAGACTTCTACAAGGTGGTCCTAAAAGCCCTTCTGTGTGTTAATCACTCCACAAATAATTGCGTATATGCAGGAGTGTGTTGAATGTTCATAAAGTGTGTCCATGTAAATGCCTGATTCAGGAAATATATAACTGTTTCAATGCTTATAAACCTAGATGTGGATATTCTCATATAATGATGAAATTTCAAACCCAAAATGGAAACAAAAACTTACAAGAACTTGTATATTATAATTTGATCATGATAAGGAAGAAAGCATTCAACAATTTCAGGAAGCACTTTATGAATATTCATTGGATTTTCATGTTACTATAATATGGATAACCAAAGATGCTGTATCTGAAGGAGTATGTTTTCTGTTACTGTAGGAATTACAGAATTCAAGTAGAGTTACCTTCCGTTGTTCCCCAACTAACCCTTTTGCTCCCACACCATTTAAGGTTTGTCTCAGTGTGAAATGTTCGTGAATAAGTAGGTGTGTTATGGTGTGCTCTGTGTGTATGTTATACTTGTATGCGTACATGGCATGGAGTGATTTCAAGCGCACTTTGTATATTTTTGCTGATGAAGGCTAAACGATCTTTGTTAAAGAGTTATATTTTCATTAATAATTTTTTATGTGACGAAATTTTATTTATTTTCAATTAGCCAACATATAAGTACAACATTAGTTTTTGATTAAGAAGTGTCAACAATAAACTAATTACATGATCTCATTGAGAATGAAGGTTTACACCTAATTGCCCCTTTTTGTAAGTACAGGCTCGTATTTTTTTATGATTAGTCAGTAATGTTAGGATGCCATTTTAGTTTACTCACAGTATGAAAACGTTGTGCCTAAGAAAAGTCTTGAACAATTTTTTAGACGGGCAGATTTTTTTTTTTAAGGTAAATGGCAGCTAAGGAAAGTTATGAAGCAAAATCTATTACATTTGCATCCATAAAGTTATTAAAATTATGGGAAGTTTAAATCAGATTTTGTTCCCCTTTTTATTTTTATTTTTTTAAAGATTTTATTTATTTATTTGACAGAGAGAGAGACAGTGAGAGAGGGAACACAAGCAGGGGGAGTGGGAGAGAGAGAAGCAGGCTTCCCGCCGAGCAGGGAGCCCGACGCGGGGCTCGATCCCAACACCCCGGGATCATGACCTGAACCGAAGCTAGACGCTTAACGACTGAGCCACCCAGGTGCCCCTTGTTCCCCTTTTTAAAAATCAAATGGGCTTAATTTATTCTTGCTAACATTTTCTGTTACTATAGAGAAGTATTTTTTTTTTTTAATTTTAACCAGAAAAAATGTAAATTACATACTCCCCCCCGTCCGAACCTTAGTGTGTTAAATGAACCTGGATTGGATCAAATGAGGTTTCTTGGTTTTGGTCATTTCATTTGTACATTGTTGATTTGAGAATTTTATGGCACAGCATTTGAGAAAATGACAGGGTTTTGTTTGCACTGGTACTTTATGTCTGTATGGCCAGTTGTGTGTAAACCAAACATTTTCAAAACAGTAGATTCTGTAACTTGAAAATCTGTTGCCTATAAGTCTCTACCATTCAGCTCTCCTTTACTTTACTAGAAAAACAGTACTTGATGTTTATTAGGTTCATTTTGGGGCAGGTTAGAATCCTGAAGTGGTTTCTGAATCAACAAAGAAAGATCACATTCAGTGTTATATAGTTTTAGTATTAGGTATATTTTGTGGTATTCTGATTCTTGACACCAATTAGTAATTCCTAAATATTTGTTCATGATTATTGTTTGATATGTTCTATAAGAAGTTTATTTTTAATCTTTTTAAGATTTTATTTATTTATTTGAGAGAACAGAGGGAGAGGGAGAAGCAGACTCCCCACTGAGCAGAGAGCCCGATGCCGGGCTCGATTCCAGGACCCTGAGATCATGACCTGAGCTGAAGGCAGACACCCAGGCAACCCGGGAGGTCTTTTTAAATTGCAGTCTTTTTCCACATACACACATGTAAAACAAAATGAGGTATATCAGAGGGATTTTTTGTATGGATAAAAGGTAAAGAAGGATAGGGAAAATGTAGTTTCGGGGCATCAGGGATAGCTTCATACCATGGCTAGAACTTTAATCGGGTATCTCTGTTGAATTCAGTACTCTCTTACTATGGAAATTGGAGGAGATAGCATGGCATAATGGAAAGCTCATTGGATTAAGAATTAAAGCAAAAGAAATCTAGTACCAGTGTAATTTTGAACGAAATCTTCTCATGGCCTTAAGTTTTTCATCTGCAAAGTGAATAAAATGAACTCAGTGACTTATGGTCCTTTCAAACGCTAATATTCTATTTGATAATTATAATATAAGAACTTGATACCAAATCCTTTTTTTGAAATAGGACCCATAGCCCTCAGTGAGAGCAAGTATGCCATACCTGGGATTTGTAGCAGTGGTCTCTCATGTTTTCTCATTTACCTTGTGAGCTACCTTGGCAAAGGAAGAATGGTGTTCCTTAAAACCAGCTCCTCAGATCTGAGTCTGTGTGCTCTGTGCTAACAAACTGGCTCCCCTGGTTGATGAACCTGCATGTGTAATGCTCATTTTCATGGGTTTTGTTAAGAGAGTCATTTGGAGAGAAGATTCAGGTATCAGTGAAGAATACTTTATATATATATGTGTGTATATATGTATATATATATACATATATACACACATATATATATAAAGTCTGACCAGCAACCTCTGAACTTCTTTAATTGCTTGATTAACTTATTTGTTAATTTTGTTCTAGTTTTTTGGAAGACTTTTCCAGACCCACAAAATCTTAGCCAGACTCCTGCATATTTATGAAGACTTTTGAATGAGAGTTTTTTTCCAAAAGGGGGAGTTTGTATAATTTTTTCTATCTTAAGTCATTTAAGCCTTCAAATTGAAGAATTCATTGGCCTAAAATACCAAGTAACAGTTTAATGAATCATGATCTGAACATATATTTTGTTTAGTATATTTAAACTTTACCTGAATCCTGTCTACCATTACATATATATTTTTTCCATTATTTATGTGTCAGATATTTTAAAGCCAGTTTTTGTCATTATACTTTTATTTCTTAAATTTTTCTTCCTCAGACTGCACATACCCACTGCATTCTTCTTGTTCCCACAGGCACCCAGTCAGTCAGAATCAGAGCCGGAAAAGGCTCCATTGTGCAGTGCGCCTCTGCCCCCTTCTTCAGCATTTGCAGAAATGAGCGGTGATCATACACAGTCGTCTGCAAGCAAAATCACAGAAGACGTGGACGAAGGGGATGAGTTTGGTTACAGCTGGAGTAAGTTGTCTTTTGTAATGCACTGAGTTATAAGAGACATTAGAATAGCTTTGGGTTTCTCGAAGCCTATATCCTGGATGGATAAGCACGTTTCAGCTTTAGTTATACATACTGCAATTTTGTTTGGAAAAAATACTGTTTGTTTTGCCTGAATACAGCACATGTTCCCAAGGCATGAAATCGTGTTCTTCCTTTCCTTTAAATGACCCTTCCTGCTAAAGCCCACTTTGCCATTGTGTGAGCATTAAAGAGGGCAGGGCACTCTCTCAGAAGGATCCACAACCTGATGATCCTGAACAAGTCATTGCCCTTCTCCAGACCTCAGATTCCTCATTGTAGAATCTGGTTGCTGGTGATATTTTGCCTTGAACTGAGTGGTAACATGGAATAATTGTTGAGATGAAAACTTGGAGTGTTTGGCAAGTTGTATAACTGCTTCTAAGTCTTTGCCTGGTGGCTACCCTTCTTTTGAAAATGCAGTCCTTACCCGAGGTTGCTAACATTAAATTAAAATGTCTGAGGAGTGCTAACCACAATGTCTGATGCACAGGAAGCATTCAAAGGCAGCTGTGATTAGGATCATTGGAGTGTCTCTTTTTTATAATGAAATAAGCCTTTTTACAAGGATATGGTAAAAATTTAGTGAAAAATTACCAATATATCAGTGCTTTAAAAAGTTTCATTTTGAAAGTATAATTATTTCCTTTAAGAAAGCATGGTATATGCTTTTAGGAAGTGTACAGGATGTGAAATGCTAGATTCTAGAAGGAATCAGGAAATGACAGTTTATAAAGTTGATGCAGTTAAGAATCAATATAGAATGTAAGACATCAGCTGCATAGTAACATTTTCTAAGAGATGATTTGTAAAGTTTGCGGTTTTCTGAGTCGATTTTCAGTTAAATAAGAGTATATTGCTAATCTATTGGGGTGACCAGAATGTACTCTGAGGAAAACAGGAGACAGAATGTCATGTCACAAGCCACCCCAAAACTTAATGCCATAAGGGAAAAGTTTATTATGGTGTCATGGTGTTGTGGTTGACTGGCCCAGCTGTGCTGGGCCTTCAGGCTGGCGCACTCACGGGGCCGGAAATTAGTGTTGGCTCCTGTGGCCTAGGGCACCTGCATGTAGCCTTGCCTTCTCAGATTCAAGTATAAATTCTACCTCTTGTTTATTCTACCTCTCCCTCCTTGGATGGGAGAGATTAATGGTCTCATCTAATGTGTCCTAAAGCTGAGACAGGGACATTGACTTGTCCTGCCCTGATGGCTCTGTGCAATAGGAAAATGAATTCCCTTTATTCTGCATCTACGTACCAAGCAATTGCCCAACACGATGTGACACGCATGCCAGTCTTCCTATGGGAGAAAACGTTCTGCTGATCAACAAAGATAAATCTTCTGAATGCTTCTGTTCTTCTTTGCAAATGATAAAGTGGTGCTCCATTTTAATCAGAGTCTTTGGAGAGTTTGTTAATGTGAATCACACAGGTGAACTGATCAGTCAGACCCTCCACGCTCTGCACTCTGGATGGAAAGAAATTCCTCAGAGTTTGGGTACTCCCGGAAACCAGTCTTGATGCCTAGGTGGCCAGATTATCTAGCTTTTCTTAGCTGCCAAGGATTTACATTTTAGTCCAAGTAATGCCCTTTTGAAGCTAAATAACCTTCCATAGTAAAACATTGGCTGTAAATTAACTTTATACCTATAATTTTGTTGTTGTTGTTACTGTTGTTGTTGTTGTTTTATGTAGAAAATATCAGAGAGCGTTACGGAACCCTAACGGGAGAGCTACATATGATTGAGCTGGAGAAAGGTCGTAGTGGTTTGGGTCTAAGTCTTGCTGGGAACAAAGACCGATCCAGGATGAGTGTCTTTGTAGTGGGGATTGATCCAAATGGAGCAGCTGGGAAAGATGGTCGACTGCAGATTGCAGATGAACTTCTAGAGGTAAGTTCTTGTGGAAGATGCTGAATTTACTCTTGCTGAATTGGTGCACTGGAATCATCAGTTTCCAGAAAATCCACCCGGGCCTCCTATGGTGACTGAGAAAACTATTGCTTGCCTAATAAAATAGATGCACTGCAGCAAATTTGGCTGTAAACCAAATCTCTGCTAAGTAGAGTCCGTGTTCCCATTAACTTCCATTAAAAGGTTGTGACTGGGTAGCACCAGAAACAATTTTTGCCCCAAGACAGTAATAAAGTTCACACTTCAAAAACATTTTTTTGTGTGCTGTATTTTTATTAGGAGGTTTTGAAAAGCCAAATGACCAATCACTCCTCAGTAATGAGATTGACCCACTGGACATTCTGGAAGCTGAATTCCTAACGGTAGAAGTGATGGGGGTGGGGTGCAGTGGGGTCAAGGTTAAGGCTAAATAATGAAAACAGTAACTCAGCTGTCCAAACATAATAAATTTCTGGACCATACTTTATAGTGTTTAGAATTGCATTTGCTTGTTTTGTTTGTCCTTGCCTTCTGGAGACTGGGATCCACACGCCTTTATATCGCCTTAAAACTCTTCCTTCCACTCTTGTTTCTCCGTTGGCTGGGAAGGCTCAGTCAGCAATGGCTAAATGTGACTAGATGACTGGCAGTTTCCAGTAGGTACTGTTCTGCTTCGGTACTTTCTGCTTCCCAATCCCGAATCTGCCTGTGGTGCTCCTCCCCCTGGCCTAGTCCCAGGCCCTGAGTTTTGAGATTAACTAAGACCTATGACCATAGCAGGCTTCCCAGGATGATCTGTGCAGGTCATTAGTATCTCCAGGAGAGCCTTTGCTTTGTATAGAATACGCTGGAAGCCCAGTGCCTGCCAGGAAGTTTACTCTCTACTTTTCTACAGTCTGTCCAAGTGGTTCCTCTTTTGTCTGTGGAGATCAGACCACCTACACATCATTTTAATGTTGGCTTTAAAACATGGGCTTGTCTTTATTCACCATCTCAGGTTCATGTTCTGGGAAGGAAAATACATATAATATTTTAAAAGAAGAAAAAAATGACCTTTTTATTAGCTAGATAGGATGATAAAGAAGAATTAGCAAAACAAATTTCAGGCTCAATTAATACTATTTGTTTCTCACAGATCAATGGTCAAATTTTATATGGAAGAAGTCATCAGAATGCTTCTTCAATCATTAAATGTGCTCCTTCTAAAGTAAAAATAATTTTTATCAGGTAAGCATTTTCTTTTTCTAGTTTACTAAATACTTTTTGTTAGTCTTTCAATTCCAAGTTCTTTTAAATGAAAATAAAACATTTTTTTTCGTTTTTTTCATTTTATTTATTTTATTTTAATTTTTATTGTTAGGTTAATCATCATACATTACATCATTAGCTTTTGATGTAGTGTTCCATGATTCATTGTTTGTTCATAACACCCAGTGCTCCATGCACAATGTGCCCTGTTTAATACCCATCACCAGGCTAACCCATCCCCCCACCCCCTCCCCTCTAGAACCCTCAGTTTGTTTTTCAGAGTCCATAGTCTCTCATGGTTCGTCTCCCCCTCCGATTCCCCCCCGCTTCATTCTTCCCCTCCTGCTATCTTCTTTTTTTTTTTTTCTTAACATATAATGTATTATTTGTTTCAGAGGTACAGGTCTGTGATTCAACAGTCTTGCACAATTCACAGCACTCACCACAGCACATAACCCTCCACAATGTCTGTCACCCAGCCACCCCATCCCTCCCGCCCCCCCCCCACTCCAGCAACCCTCAGTTTGTTCCTGAGATTAAGAATTCCTCATATCAGTGAGGTCATATGATACATGTCTTTCTCTGATTGACTGAAAATAAAACATTTCTAAATGTCTGAGTGTGTTATAGTCCCAGGTCTTTGGGGTTACAGAATTTTCTCTAATAATCCTTCTGAGTCTTCAAGTAAAAGAATGAAAATAATATGAATCATTATGCTATGATTGGTCATTGCTTCTTCTTTTAGAAATAAAGATGCGGTGAGTCAGATGGCTGTATGTCCTGGAAATACAGTAGAACCTTTGCCTTCTACCTCAGAGAATTCTCAAAATAAGGAGGTATGTATCTTGTGTTTGTTTCTCTGGGAAGATTTGATTGATATACTATGTATTAATTCAGCTAACAATTATAGAGCCCTTACAGGAATGTTAAAGATAAATGACTCTTGGTCTTGGCCCCCAAGGAGCCTAGTACAAGAAACACTTATGTAAATAACCACACCACTTCCATGAAGAGTCTACATAGGGAATAATGAAGGTAGAAAAAGTTGTCAAGTCTCCTTCTGCAGAGATAGTGACAGTGACTCCCTAGGTGAGGTGACATGTGAAGTATGTGTTGGAAGTAGAAGACACATGGGGCAAAAACATTCCATGCAGAGGGCATGGACTAAGGGATGGCATGCAGGCTCTGGAAGACACAGGGAATGAGAATTGCAGGGCATCACTGAACAGTGGGGGAGGCGGGGAATGGGGAGCTGGTGAGGAAAAGGTCACTGAGAAAGGGAGATAGGGTCAGATCATGGGAAGTGTGATGGAGGCTCTGTCTTTGAGGCTTAGGGAACTCAAAGAGTAAGAATTGTATTTTTAAGCACTTCTCTGGAAATAGTGCAGAGAAAAATCAGAGGTTTCAAGGAAGAGAAGTTAAGGTAAAGGGAGTAAGAAAATTATCAGAGTAGTTCAGGAGAAAGATAATGAGGGCCTGAACTAATGCAAAAACACAAAGAAGGAAGAAAGAAAGAAATGATTAAGTCAGAAGTTGCAGAAGTTTAGGATCCAACTTAGCATTACCTTATCCCTAACTAAATGTACTCCATGAGAAACAACGAGTGGTTGAGAATCTGTTTACCTGACAAGTATTTATTATCTGCCTTGTGCCAGGTACTGCTTTTTGGGCTGGGAATAGGCTGGTGAATGAAACAGACAAGATGTAGACAGCTTCCAGAAGACTGACGTGGTGACTTGGTGGATGGCTGACTTTTACCAGAATAGAAAAAATTAAAAAGCAGATATTTGTAAAAATAGAAAACAGCTTTAGGGTGACGTGCAGGTTGAAGAGCCTGGTAGAGATGTACATTGGGACATTTAGTCTAGAGTTTAGAGACGAATTCCCATAGATGCATATTTGTCATTTGATAGCCATGGGAGCTTAGGCTCTTCCGTACAGAGAATACTTAGAAAGAAGAGGGCCAATGTCAGAATTCTTTAATAACAACAAGGAAGAAGCCTAACAAAGAGTGGTCAGAGATAACAAGGAAGGGCCAAACAGGCACATTGCCTAGCAGCCAAGGAGGGCACATTTTAAGAAGAAGGGTGTATTCTACGATCTTGAATGCCAAGGAGAAGTCAAGTAAGGAGGTGAATAGAGCCCATTGGACTTGGCAACCAGCTGATTACTAGTGTTTCTTTTAGAAAGCAAATGATGGATAAAATGTTAAGAAAGAGAAGGCAGCAGCTAGAGGGTAACAGAATTTATAGAGTTTTTTGGTGGGAGTTTTGATGTGCCAAAGCCTCAGATCCTTGTTAAGGATGAATAAAAGGCATAGAGAATGAAAAGCTTAAAATGAGAGGAGCCATATCATTACAGTGCAAGAAGGTGTAGAAGCAGAAACACTCTCCCCTAAAGGAGTGTGTAAGCACTGGGCTATCTACATGAGGAATGTCACTCGTTCTGGTGAACTGAGAAATCATTCATAATGGTGAACTGAGTCGAGTGGTTTTTCAAGATTATAAAGGAGAAAATTTTATTTTCATACGAATGGTACCACATATATAGCCCTTAAGAAAATGGAATTTTTTTTCTTTTTTAAGATTTTATTTATTTCGAGAGAGAGTAAAACATTTAATAGCTCCTAAATTCCCTTGATGACTAACATAGGGAAGAATAGTGGATGGTGTCTCTGCTAGTGTCCTATGTTTCAGTGAGTCTCACCGTCGGGTAGCTGGGCTGTGATTAGATTTTATTAGAGAATAAATCCAGGAAGTCTTGAGAACCGCTTTGTGTCTCTGTTCTAAAATAATTTTTGTCTCATCATACCTTATTAGTATTTTGAAGAGAGTGTAATGTTCATAAATGTCATGAAATGTTAATAATTATAACACATGAAATAATTTTCATTAAAGTGGCCCTTATTAAGCAAACAAAAATACATAACACTCAGTTGCCTGTTTTACCTTTTCTTTCCCTCTGTCAGGCTGAGCCAAGTGGTACTACTTGTGATGCAGCTGTGGACCTCTATTCATTTAAAAATGTGCAACATCTGGAGCTTCCCAAGGTAAATCTGCTTTGAATTGGGATTTTTACACCAGTGATCTAATTTGCTGGTTCTCAGAATTACGGTCTCTAGACCAGCAGCATCAGCATCACCTGGGATCTTGTTAGAAATGCAGATGTTTGGGCCCACCAGAACCTACTAAATGAGAAATTCTGGGGGTGGACCCGCAGTTTGCATTTTTATAAACCTTCTAGGTGATTCCAATGCATACAGACACTTGAGAATTACTGTGTTAATTGATACTTTAACAGGAACTAAGCTTTTCCTGCCTTTATGATTATCCCAAGGTATGACATTTGGCAGTCTCTTTTTTTTTTTTAAGATTTTATTTATCCATTTGAGAGAGTGAGAGAGCACGAGAGTTGGGTGAGGGGCTGAGGGAGAAGCAGACTCCCCACTGAGCAGGGAGCCCAGTGCAGGCCTGAGGGATCATGACCTGAGCAGAAGGCAGATGCTTAACTGGCTGAGCCACCCAGGCGTCCCCCTCCTTTGATACATTTACCAGGGGCCTGCTATGGAGGAAATAAAAAGAAGAAAGAAACGAATTATAGTCTTTGTCCTTCATAAAACTCCAAGTTCGAATAGCTAGAAGTTTCACTGATAAGCATCACTGAAGTATTTACTTTTGAAAAGATCTGAACCTTAGGTTCAAATGACCACTTTAGAGAGGTGGTTTGCTGAACAGAAACCTACAAATGCTTTCAGGTTCTGCAGGCTCATGCTGGAATGCAGGCAGGGACGGCGGTGGATGAAGGAGAATATTTGCAGAGAGAGCAGCAAAGTGCTCAGGGAGAAGAGGAAGGCAAGCCGGGGGTGGGCGTGGAGCAGGGGTATATTTACTGGAGGCACAAAGAAGTGGCCAGTTCTGAGACAGTGCAGTATGGTGCTTATGGGTGTTGACTCCAGAATCTGAGTTCAACCCTTGCTTCATCAGGTGTACATCTGACACATTAGGTGATGTTCTTTTGCCTCAGTTTTCTCACCAGTAAATTGGAGATGGTAATATTACCTTTGACCTAATTATAGATTAAATGAGTCCTTTGTAAGTACTTGGCATAATGCCTGGCACACAGACTTTGTTAAGCAAAAAAAGACTGTCCTGCTATTGATTTGGTTTTGTTTTTACAATAAATGTGTGTAAGATGGATTGCCCTGGTCTTGCTTACAGTACATTTAAAAGAAGTCGTTATTACACACACTTTATGTTGTAGGTAGAAGGAAAAGAACAGAAGTCATTAAAGCCTTTTGCCTTTTCTACCAAGAAGTTCATACACTTCAGTTCAGGATCCCTCACTCTGTTGCCATTTGAGAGAGAAGATACCTTCCTTTTTCCCCTGTTGATTACAGATTTTTCCTTTTCCTCCTAAATCCCAAAGTATCAGAATTTATTTAACAGTGCAGTCATTTCCCTGCAATTTGTGAATTATGAAGCATTTAAATGTATGCTGGATTCATTATAATAAACTTTAAAAAAATATAGGTTTATGCTTATCTTTAGAAAAGCCCAAAATAAGATCATTTTTTTTTACATGCCTTTCATGGCATTGGCCTAATTTATTTACCTAGAGTTTAGAACATCCTAGAATATAATGAGTGCCCAGGAAATGTTGGGAGAATGACCCTGTTAAACAGATGCAGTATGAGCAAAACACTATAGTGGTTGAGCTTGTAGATTAAAGCCAACCCTTCTGGGTCGGAGCCCTCCTTTGCCTGTTACAAGCCGCTGGCTGGGACCTTGGACAGGGTTCTTAATCTGGACAATTTCCCCTCTACCAAGTGGAGATGATAGTAGTACTCATCTCCTACATTTGTAGTGAGAATTAAGTATATATTGTGTGAAGAGTCCAGTACCTTGCACTCATATATAAATACTGCCTGTTTTTTTTTTTTTTATTGTTATAATTATTAGGAAAGAATAAGCTGGCAGAGAGTTGTCTGACTCCCTCCTGGTACCGGTTTTCTGCGATGCTGTCTCCTTCTGTCTTAGGCTACCTGATTAAGGTGTTCTGTAGATGTTTAATTGTCCTAATCCCCTATTCAGAATCTTTCAAGGACCTCCATTCTCAAACAGATAAATTCAAGTCTCTTGGCCTGGCATTCAGCAATGGGGGGCGGTGGGGGGTGGTGGGGACAGAGGTCTGCTTTGTCTGTCAGAGGCCCTTCTGAGTGACCTCTGATAAAATATTTGGAAACTTGATCTCATTGGTCCCCACTCCTCTTCTGTAAATGGGGCTGCCTGTATCAGGGGTTACTGTTGGGATTCTTTAAGCTAATGAGCAAGCTCCCTTCATTCTACAGCTGGTCTCTGCCTTTAGCCTCCTGCTGACTTAATCAGCAGGTGTCTATTATGTGCACTTCCCTTTCTGAAGTAGTTGCTGTAGCGGAATCTAAGAACTTGAAGAAACTTCAGATTTTATTGCCCACAGAAAGCTTCCATCTATACATAGATTTCAAACAAATCTAAAGCTCAGGTAACTGAAATGTATTTATTGATGAAGGCCAAAGTGAATAAGGGGGAATATTCAAGAATCTTTTAAAATCAGCTGATTTTAATTCTAATTCTAATTCTAAAATTAGAAGCAATCAACTACGACTTCAAGTGTGGGCTTTTGGAGCCACTTAACTTTTCTGGGTCTCAGTTTCCTTGTCTGTAGGATAGGGGAATAATGAAACCTTTATATTAGAAATATTTTTATAAGGATTAAATGAAAGAATCTGTATAAAGCACTTCATGTGGTGTCTCTCCCAGTTGGATGGGAGACCCCAGATGTGGGGCAACAATCCTGTGGAAGCCAGTGACTCAGGAGGTGAAAGAATTCACCTGAGGCAGAACAAGGGAGATAGAAGTGTCTTGAACACACCACAAGCAAGCAGCGGGAAGGGCTGCAGAGAGGCTGTCTGCCGGGAGGCAGTGGGTGGGGCTATTTTTCAAGGGGGAAGGTAAGGAGGTAGGTGCAGAGGTATGGAATTTTCCCTTTTTTTGGCAATTGTGCCTGGTTTTGAGTAGCCCATTGGTCAGGTAGGGCTTATGGATATTTTTAGGTGGGTCACCTGATGGGTCCATCTGTATTCAGTTGGGGTTGCTGTGGGCCCTTTCTGCATTCCATCGCTCAAGCCTGTTTGTCTGAAAGCGGCCTATACTTCACACTGTTCAAGTCATTATTTTCCTTAATATTTTAACCATGAGGTTCTGAATGCTCCACAGAATGTGTGCTTAAAAACATCCTTTGAGGAGGCCCTTGCCAAAAATGACAGGTTAATGGGGCGCCTGGGTGGCTCGGTCCTTAAGCGTCTGCCTTTGGCTCGGATCATGGTCCCAGGGTCCTGGGATTGAGCCCAGCATCCGGCTCCCTGCTCGGCGGAGAGCCTGCTTCTCCCTCTCCCTCTGCCCCTGCTTGTGTTCCCTCTCTCACTGTCTCTCTTTCTCTGTCAAATAAATAAAATCTTAAAAAAAAAATGACAGGTTAAAAGACACAGCATACTATATAAGCCTGTCCACTCCAAATCCCATTTTAGCTGACTCTGCAAACAAAACTCAAGAAAGCAAAGACGGGAGAATTAACCAGCCTGCTAACGTTCATACCTCATCCGCAATTCTTTGTCATTTATAGTACCCTGTATTTTTAAAAATTATGATTATTTGAAAAAAATTAATGGTGAAGTCTCATGTGCATTATGTTTATTTACTTCTCAGCCACACTGTGAGATTGCTTTTATTTTCCCCACTTATAACAGTTCTCATAACTCAAAATGGTAGAGTTAGAACTTAAACTCTGGTCTTAAACCTCCAAGTCCCATTTTCCATTCCTTGTTTCAGCTTGCGACTGGGGCCCATTTACCTTTCCAAAACACCTTTATGTTTCTTATAAGAATCTTCTACTTCATTCAGACTGACTTGTATCAAGAGCCCATGGCGATTTAAGAATTCATCCCTCCTTGCCTTTGCTTATACAACTTGGGGTACCCTTCTGCTTTCTTTTAGATTACCTAAATCCTGTATGACTCAAGATCTAACTTAATCTCCTGTCTGTTTATTTTGAAATGTTCCTTCAATATTCTGGCCTATATAATGCTTACTAGTAATGTCTTCACTTATTTGTCATTTAACCGTGCCTGGCTCAAACATGTCTCTTGTGATAAACATTCATGTGGGTAAATTTTCTATACATCTATATTGAAAACATGTTGAAAAAGAAGAAGCTGTTATATTTTTTCTACCATTATCTCATCTAGTATGGGGTAGCATAGTTCATACTAAGTATGCAGGAGGGTGGAAAGGATGAAGGCTTACATGCTGTGTGTGCACAAGGGGAAAATGTCAAGTACCAGGGGGTCAGGAAGGAGAGAACGGTTTTCCTAACAGTCTTAAAACAGAAACTGTAGTAACAGGTCATTTGTAGTTAAGTTCTGACTCCTTAGAAACTCTCTGGACAGGTCAAATATCTTTTTTTTTTTTTAGGACAGAGAGAGTGCAAGGCTAGGGTGAAGGGGGTGGAGCGGGGCAGAGGTAGAGAATCTTTTTTTTTTTAAGTTTTTTTTTTTAATTTATTCATTTGAGAGAGGGACGGAGACAGAAAGAGCTCAAGCAATGGGGGAGAGGCAGAGGGAGAGAGAGAAGCAGGCTCCCCACTGAGCTGGGACCATGACATGGGGACATGGCAGCTCCATCCCAGGACCTGGAGATCATGATCCGAGCCGCTGAAGGCAGACCCTTAAGCATCTGAGCCACCCAGGTGCCCCTGTAGAGAGAGAGTCTTAAGCAGGCTCCACGACCCTGAGATCATGACCTGAGCCGAAATCAAGAGTCAGATGCTTAACCGACTAAGCCACTCAGGCACCCTGATTATCTTTTTTCTTTTTAATCCCCTTTTTTAAGTCGGAAAATAGAAGTGTAAACAAAAAGTTTATAATGTGTATAATCTGAACCCTTAGACTGACTGAAAGACTAATTCAATATATCAGACAAAATAATTTTGATTGAAGATTTGTTTTTAAGCACATTTTATCCTAGGAAAGTACCTGTAAATCAAAACAACCTTACACAATTTTCAGAGATACGTTTCATGTCCATACAGTTTTATAGGGTGAAAGTCTTCAAATAGCATTAAGAAGTTTTCTTCTGGGGCGCCTGGGTGACTCAGTCAGTTAAGTGGCTGCCTTCAGCTCAGGTCATGATCTCAGGGTCCTGGGATCGAGCCCCACAGCGGGGGTTCCCTGCTCGGCAGGGAGTCTGCTTCTCCCTCTCCCACTTCCCCTGCTTGTGTTCCTCCTCTCACTATCTCTGTCTCTGTCAAATAAATAAATAAAAATCTTTGAAAAAACAAAAAACAAAGGAGTTTTCTTCTGAATTTTTGAGAATCTTCCAACTTCAGAATAGCTCTCCTGATGATAATGGTGGTTTACTTTGTTCCACTTTTAATTCTTGTTCATTCTTCTCTAGCTATTGAATGATAGAAATGTTACTCCATAAAAAAGTTTCCTTAATTTGTTTCACTTTCTCTATATGGTGGTGTTTTAATAACTGGCTCAGAACAGTGTTTCTCAGACCTTTTTCTGTTACAAACTGGGTGTCCTGTGGTAGCAGTGAGGTGGAGAGCTAAGCAGTCAGCTGGGAAACTGTACTCACACCCTGTTGCCCTTACTCGTATTTCATCCTACTCTTCTGATACCAGTAGGTGTCTGTAGATGTGTTTATATGTGTTATTTTTGTAGTATTTTAAGTGGAATTGGGGCATATTATGTAAACAGATATGTAGCTTATTGCTCCTTGTAGGACCCTGCCTGTTGCTAATAACAAAAAACTTTCTTCCTCCTATAGGCTTAGTGAAAGAAGGAGATTTATGAGCCCAGGTTACTGGGCAGCAATCTTCCAGGATGGTTGGTCTGTGGCTCAGTAGGGTCATCATCAAGAGCCAGGTCTTTTCCTTTCCCTGCACAGCCATCAGTGGTCAGCTGTATCCTAAGGCTGGTCTTCCTCTCAGTTTTAGAATGGCTGCCAGCCATAGTTGGGGTCATGTGCTGCTTCTCTCACCTGGGGTCGGGGGGAAAGTGGCTATCCTGTAATTCTGAGTAAAAGTCCTGAAATCCATGCTAGTTGATCCAGCTCCGTTCACTCACCTACTCCTGAGCTTGGGACTTTGACAATGGGAATAGAACTGTACTATTGAACCAAGTCATTCAAACTCCATCCTTGGAGTTATTTATCCACTGTTACATAACAAATTACCACAAAATTTAGAATCTTAAACATCTGAGCCACCCAGGTACCCCCAAAATTTAGAATCTTAAAACAATAGACATTTATTATCTCTGTTTCTGTGGGTCATGGGTTTGGGAGCCGTTCAGTGGGTGGTCTGGTCAGACTCCGTGTAGAGTTGCCAACAAACCACCAGCGAGGGCTGCAGTCATGGGCAGCCTTGTCCAGGGCCAAAAGATCCACATCCGGGATGGTTGACTTAAATGACCACTGATAGAAAACCCTGTTTCCTCTCTGGGGTGCTGCTTTCATGTCCTCATATATGGACCTGGCTTCCCCCAGAGCAGGTGGTCCAAGAGAGAGTGAGGAGGAAGCCCTGTTGCCTTTGTCATAGGTGTGAAATTGCATACCCTTCCTCCTGCTTTATTCTGTATTTTACAATCAAGTAACCCAAGTCCAGTGCACGTTCAGGATCCCCTTCTTGAAGGGAGGAATATTATTTTGAGCATATTTTAAAATCACCACCCAAAACATAGGCAGAGAGAGAACGAGCAAGAGAGAGAGCATGCTCCTGTATGTTGTTTGAGGCAGCAGAGGGAGGGGGCTGGATATTCTGACAAAAATCTGTGAGCTTGCATGAAGGAATATGATAATGGTGTTAAGTAAACAACCAGTAAATGCCCTCTGTACCACTAAAGTACTTTCCTGACTACAGGTAAGTGAATAGGCAATGATAGAACCAAATCTCAGAGTTGCATACATACAGTCATCATAGATGTAGAGTATTACTTGTTCAAACAAATATTTCTTTGTGGTAATAGGAAAGACCATTGGTGTACAAAATCCCAGATAGAGTGTTTAGCTAAATTAGGTGTATTTGGCATTGGGATTTTGTCTTTTTGTTAGCACATTCACCTTCCTGTTCATTAAACCTGATTCTTTCACCAGCTAGATTGGGATTCAGGGTGTCAAAATCCTGGCAAGTTTAGAAAATGCATCTGAAGTATATTTGATTGTGTCCTGTAGGGTAATAAGTAGAAGGAAGGCGTGTGTAATAACAACACTGTATATAGCACATCAGGTTTTCAATCCCTTTCTTATTATATCTGATCCTCACAGCAATCTCATGGTTGGGTGAGAACAACATGGTTTGAACTGCATGGGTCCACTTCTATGTGGGAATTTTTTGATAAATACAGTATAGGACTGCAAATGTATTTTCTCTTCCTTATGATTTTCTTAGTAATATTTTCTTTTCTCTAGCTTCACTGGAAGAATACAGTATATAATCCATATAACATATAAAAAGTATTATTCAGCTATTTGTTATCGATAACACTTTCAGTCAAGGCTATAAATAGTTCAGTTTTTGACGAGTCAGAAGGTATGGATTTTCAGCTGTGCAGAAGGGGATCAGCACCCCAACCCCCACATTGTTCAAGGGTCAGCTGCATTATTACTCCTTTTTTAGATAAGAAAATGGAGGTTTAGGGGCGCCTGGGTGGCTCAGTCTTTAAGCGTTTGCCTTCGGCTCAGGTCATGATCCCAGGGTCCTGGGATAGAGCCCCGCATTGGGCTCCCTACACTGCAGGGAGCCTGCTTCTCCCTCTCCCACTCCCCTGCTTGTGTCTCTCTCTCTCTGTCAAATAAATAAATAAATAATCTTAAAAAAAAAAAAGAAAATTGAGGTTTAGACATGTTATATGGGCTATCCAAATTCCTACAGCTAGACAGGAAGTAAATGAGAACCGAGCTCTGCTCACCCTAAAAGTGCAGTTTTTTCTGCTTTACACATGTGACTGATTCTGCAGAAAGAGAGTGTGGTAGAGAGAGATGCATAATGACAGTCTGAAAATCATCAAACATGAATAATCTACCTCAGAAAAGCCACGATGTTGATAATCTTTAAAATGATGGTACAACCTTACCTTGATGTCAGTCATGATCCTAAAAGCCTGATGGCAAGTGTGGCTCTCATGTATACATTTCATAGAAACCATGGCAAAATTTCCTTTTTCTCTCTTTTGCTTTACATTTCCCTGGGTAGAAAGTATAATGAAAATGGTTGCTAGCTCTAACCAGAATGAAAATGCTCAAAACCCTATTTTAATTTTATTAATGTAAACATTAAAGAAATGCAAAAGCCAATACTATTGAACATTTGGTCTTGATAAAAGAAAATGTGGAAAATATAGACAAAATATATATAGCTCTCTAGGCTTGGCAGGTTTTCAGTGCATGTCTTTGGGCTCAGAGTTGAGAGTGTTTTCACTCTGCACCAAATCAAAACACAAGTGTCTGGGGAAACAACGCTGTGTATTCAGCCCCAGAAAGGACGGAGCAGGCAGAAGTAATTGTAGTCTTCTGCTAAGGGAGAAGGGCAGGATGAAGGGGCCAGTTTGGGTTGTTATTTCTTAGCTGTAGGCCAGAAAGAGGAAGGAGGATACTTTGATTTGGTTTTAAATGACTTATTCCGTCAGCCAGTTCCCAAAACTACATTGGCAAATGTTGTATATTCATTGAGTTACCGAATGCATTTTGTTCTCTGGATATTTGCTAAAGTTACTAGAGATGTGTAACTGGATATATATGGTAAATACGCTAGAAATAGTAAACATATGGGAGGAATGAATACATTTGAATATTTGATAAAAGAGAATTTATTTCCATTAAAAAGTTTGAGACTTTGCTTAAGAAGAGATTTCTATTAATGAACTTTAGAATGGTTTTAATCCGTTTTCTAGCCCTTGGGTAGAAGATGATGTTCAGAAGTTATGGCCATATAGCTTTCCTTTGGATAAATTTAATCTGCTTCAAGTTTTCTAAGTTGTTACTATTTCTCTAGGATCAAGGGGGTTTGGGCATTGCTATCAGTGAGGAAGATACGCTCAGTGGAGTCGTCATAAAGAGTCTAACCGAGCATGGGGTGGCAGCCAAGGTGAGGCTTTCTCACTGTCATACAGTGGTTGGGAAGGGAATTACTTCTATAAAATCACCCCAAATCTTAACATGTTTCCATTTAGGATGGACGGCTCAAAGTTGGAGATCAGATTTTGGCTATAGATGATGAAGTTGTTGTTGGCTATCCTGTTGAAAAGGTACGTTTCCAAAAGGAAGCAGATGACACTGTGAACCCATCCGTGGGCATGGCCGGCACGTGTGTGTGCCTTTGTGTGTCCGTGTGTGTGTGTGTGTGTCCATGTGTGTGTGTGCCTGTGTGTGTGTGGTCATAGGGAATTGGAACCATGTAGCTATACTAGACGTTATATTAGATATCATTAAGGAAAAGAAGAGATTAGAAGTTCTTCAATTTCTATTTTCTATTTTCAAATCAAATGATATTGAGGTATTTTCTATTGCCTAGAAAATCCAGTGTTCAGTAGGCATTTTTTTTTCCCCAGTGGGCATTTTTGATAAATACCATTTCCATTTTCCCTTAGAAAACCTTGCAACTTCTTTTTTTTTAATAATTTTTTTATTGTTATGTTAATCACCATACATTACATCATTAGTTCTTGATGTAGTGTTCCATGATTCATTGTTTGTGCATAACACCCCGTGCTCCACGCAGAATGTGCCCTCTTTAATACCCATCACCAGGCTAACCCATCCCCCCACCCCCCTCCCCTCTAGAACCCTCAGTTTGTTTTTCAGAGAAAACCTTGCAACTTCTAAACAAAGGTCAACTTAGTGTTAAGACCAAAGGAATCTTTATGAATATTTGCTCCAGTAAATATCCATTTTGTCTGTTGTTTTATAAACAGACTCAGTCATTAAATGTATTACTTTCATTGGGATTAAACAGTTACTTGTGAGTTTTCTTGTCCTCAAAAGTGGTAATACTTACTAGTAGTCTCACTTGAGGCATTTCATAGATAAGTGCAAGAAAAAAAGCTATGTTTCTCTTGAGATTTGGTGTGCAAGTGTTTTTTATTTCTACATTGGCCAGCAAGAAGTTTAAACCATTTTTTAAAATTCAGCTTTAATAATTGTATAGGTTGAACCCTTTTAACCCATATGTCTATGTTCTAACTTTCCATTTGGCTTGACTCTTCTGTTGCATAGTTTTCTTTACCCTTCTTTTAACATAAGTGTTTCCATTTTATTAAAAGTGTTTGTGTAAGCTGTTTCATATTCTCAGTAGAATCAGGAAGTGGGAAAAGTGCCCCATGTATCTTCTAAGTTTGTAGGGATCCAGAGGAAAGGATGAGATTAATTAGAAATGTCAAAAATGGAAAACCCTATACTTATATAAAGAAGAATATGGTCACAACTAGACTTACAATAGAAATTAACTTTGGCCTTAATATCAGGCAACTGAGAAACTAGAAAGAAAGGACAACCATTCTTTCTTGACCCCTCAAGTTCTGATAAGGAAAGGGATTCCAACTGTAACAGTGACTTACTGGTATAAGTCTACTAATCTGCTTTTGAATTTTGTTTCCTTACCACACCAACACCCTGCCAGTTTATTAGCCTTTTGAAAACAGCAAAGACAACAGTGAAACTTAGCATTCATGCTGAGAATCGCGACCCCCTGGCTGGGACGGCCAGTGGAGAACAGAAGAGCAGCTCCTTGTCTCCGACGGCCCCATCTTCTGGCTCCCCAGAACCAGAGTCCATCCCAAGTAAGGGCCAATCTCTTGCGATTCCTGCTTCTGTGGTGCACTCAAACCCCCCAGCGGCAGCTTCCTACGTGGGAGCCCCCTGCCTGCATGTAACTCACTGTTTGAAGGCCATCAAGTATAAAGAGAGGGGCTCCTGAAGAAAGGTCACTGGGCTGTTAGGCAGGGGATCTGCGTGCTGCACGTTAACCAGCCGTAGGGCCTCAGGGAACCCACTCACCCATTCTGAGCCTCTGCTTCATCATCTCTAAAGCAGTGGAGTGCTACTCTTTGCTCTCCAAGGATCTGAGCTGAAGGTACCTGTGATTCGGGTATTTGACTAATGATGTAACAACATCATTTTGAATATTCCTTTTTTATATTGGGCAAGTGATTTAACTTCTCTTAAAGCCTCAGTATTCTAATCTGTAAAATGGATACAGTGATGCCACTTTACCGGTGACATCAGCAGTGCCTTGCATTATAAGAAACTCTTTAAAAATAATAGTCATTGCTATAGTAAGCATAATTGATCTGAGTTCTGTCATTTAGGTCTAATAGATCCTGTCAAAATAGATGAAATGATTGTATGTGGACCATGGAATGAGACTTGTGTGCATCATTAAAATGCCAGTGTAGCAAATTGAGGCAAATTATTCCTTTAAGTTACTTTTTGACAAAAATTACACTACTGTTTAATAAGACAGTAAATTTCAAGCTTTGCAGCACTGAAAAAAGTACTTAAACACATAGGCTTTTTCTGCTATGGGAGAAAAAATTCTCTTTTGGCCTCCAAACTGAAACATTAAGTTCTTTTGACAGGTTTTTAAGGAAACAGCAGTTTAAAACATATGTAATATAGTTAGACAAAAAAAGTCTTAAAGTAATACATATCTGATGAATGTAATCCTTTATTTAGAAAGACTGGGTAATTCACTGACATGTTAAAAGGTTTTACGGAAATTGTCTCCTTTTTCAATTTTATGTTGATCCCAAAATAGGATTGTCTATAAAAATGTAAAATTCTAAATGAAAATGTAACATAAAAGAAAATATCTTACACCTGCTCTTACCATTTCAGGAGCAAGAATTAGTCTGTCTCTGGTTTCCTAAAAAGAGAACCTCTTGCCTAAAGCTACTCTACCAACTGTCTCAGCTTTTGCAAAACATGACGTGTGCTATATGCTCTTTGGTATATCGTAAAACATATGATATGAAGACTATCGTAAAACAAGGTGTGAAATTATATTCTCCTTGTTTTCTCATAATCTATTCTTGTCTCTTCAGTCCTGAGCACATATGCACCAGGATTTAATATCTGAGTTTATAAAACATCAAGTGAGACATGCAAAGAAAGAAACTGCATATGAGTCTCACTTGATGTTTTATAAACTCAGATATTAAATCCAGTTGCGTATGTGCACAGATTTGATACATAAGAAGAAATGCTCTAGGATAAGAAGAAAAGGAAAACCAAAACCAAAATATAAAAAGCCTTGAAATGCAGGCTCCATGAGCAGAATTACTGATGTGCTGATGTGCTTTGTGTTTTGTAGTCTTCCCAGAGTGTGTTTTTAGATGACCGCTATATACCTCAGTTCTGAGTTGTACAAATCATAATTTCATAAGAAGTTTTTTGGCTCTGGTGAAGTATGTAATATCAGCATGAAACTAGAGGTTCAGTTCAACTCTCTGCTCTTATTCCTTTATACATATCATCCCTAGCAATTTAGAAAATACACCATAGTGCGACGTAACTTTGTACCCACCTCCCTAAATTAATGATGATTGAATCATTTTGTTTGATGTTTTTAAAATATAACTAAAAGATTAAGGTAAGTCTGAAGTCTTCCTTGTCTGTAACCTTGGGCCCTTTTTCTGCTCCATCCCCCACAGGCAAGGGGGGGGGGCTGTGAGTTTGTTGTATATACCACCTAATCAGTTTGTATTTCATTTCATTTTAAATTTATTTTTAGGTACAAGCAGGTCATCAACACCAGCGATCTTTGCTTCTGATCCTGCAACCTGCCCCATTATCCCAGGCTGCGAAACAACAATTGAGATTTCCAAAGGGCGAACAGGGCTGGGCCTGAGTATTGTTGGAGGGTCGGACACTCTGCTGGTGAGGACACTCCCTGAGATGCTTCAGATCCAATGAGCCCTGAGAGATTGCTATCTGGGAGAGTTCTATCTGTTTTATTAAATGAAACATTAAGGCCTAAAAAGATGCATCATTTGTTGTTATTTTAATTCGTAGAGCAAATACCAAAAATTGAGTACTGGGACTTCTATTCTGAGTGAGTACTGACTCAGTAAGATAGTTACACTTGTGATTGTGACCTTTAGGTTCAAAATATTTCTCTTAGTTTACCTGTCTTTGCTATACTTTAATTGCCTTTTTACTGTCTGGATATGGTTGGGTTGGACCCATATTGAGAGGAGTCTGAATAACTGGATAATTATAGACAAAATTTTCTAAATGTCAAAAATTTTTTAAAATCTAATTATTTCATTTGTGGGTAGGAAAAGTGATGTATATCTGTCAGTTTCGTTTGCGGATGGGAAAGGTGATGTATACCTATTATATGTATGTATAATTTATATATTTCATAATTTTTTCTTTAAACATCCCTGTCATTAGAAAGATATATATAAACTTCTTTGAGCCTTGTAGCAAAAAGTGCATTACACTTTTCTTTGCATTTTGATATGACTCCCTATGGATCCAGTGAGTATATAACCCTTTGCATTATCTTTAAAAGTACAGTGTGTTTTGACTTCATTTCTGCTCACCAGTCCTACGGAGGATGGGCTAAAGCATGAGTATGTCTTGTCTGGGCCCTTAGGGTGCCATTATTATCCACGAAGTTTATGAAGAAGGAGCAGCTTGTAAAGATGGAAGACTCTGGGCTGGAGATCAGATTCTAGAGGTACAGAATACCTTTATAATTGACAAAGAAAAAGCTACTCTGGGGAGGGCGGTCTCTGTTTCTTTCTTTGTTTCTTTCACTTCCTCTTTGCTCTTTCTTTATTTGACTCACCTGGCTCCTCACAGTGTCCCATTTCCGCACAGGTGAATGGAATTGACTTGAGAAAGGCCACGCATGATGAAGCAATACATGTCCTGAGACAGACCCCACCAAGAGTGCGCCTGACGCTCTACAGAGATGAGGCCCCATACAAAGAGGAAGACGTGTATGACACCCTCACTGTCGAGCTGCAGAAGAAGCCAGGGAAAGGCCTGGGATTAAGTATTGTTGGGAAAAGGTACGACTGAAGAGGGCAAACCTCATGATCTTTTGGAAATGACTGAATTTCAGTTCTTATAGAGAATATTATCAGTAGTCGAATCTTTATCAGCTGCTAGTGTTCTGTGGGTAGCTGTTGTCAGCCCACTCATCGTCAAAAGACCTCACTTTTGAACTTTTTAAGTTAGGATTTTGGGGGATCTTGAGAATATTAGACAAAAAACTGTTTAGTATTTATTTTTTTTAAGGTTTATTTATTTGAGAAAGAAAGCACAGGAGCATGAGTAGGGTGAAGGGCAGAGGGAGAAGCAGACCCCCTGCTGAGTGGGGAGCCCAGTCCGGGACTTGATCCCAGGACTCCAGGATCATGCCCTGAGCCGAAGGCAGACACTTAACCAACTGAGCCACCCAAGTGCCCCTGACTGATATTTCTTGAACACCTCCTGTGTGCCGGGGAATACATTATGTTCTGAGGAGCAAAGTTAAATAAGACATGGTTCCTGACTGGGGCGCCTGGGTGGCTCAGTTGTTAAGCGTCTGCCTTTGGCTCAGGTCACAGTCCCAGGGTCCTGGGATCAAGCCCCGCATCTGACTCCCTGCTCAGCAGGAAGCCTGCTTCTCCCTCTCCCACTCCCCCTGCTTGTGTTCCCTCCCTCACTGTCTCTCTGTCTGTCAAAAAATAAATAAAATCTTAAAAAAAAGAAAATACATGGTTCCTGACCTCAAAAAACTCACAATTTAGTCAACAAGAATTAAATATGTTCTTGCAACAAAGGATTCCATTGATGAGAGACAGAGACATACTGTGGGGGAGCTGTGGCAGCAGAGGAAAAGGGGACAAGTGACTCTATTTGAGGAAGCAGATTAGAGAAACTTCTCAGAAAAGAGGTGCCTGCGCTGAGGCTGAAAGTGATCAGTGATAGTTGGTCTATTTGTAGGGAGCAGTGGATACTCTAGGGAGAAGGATTGGCTGGAACATAAACATGCTGTCAGAAGGGAACAGAAAGTAAGAGGCCTGGGTGGTAAATTGGTGAATAGATATAAATTTAGTACCTAATTTATTTAAGTATTTATAGACAAGTAATATTAACAAATACATGATCCAGTAAGTTCTAATATCTTTTTTTTAAAAGATTTATTTGTTTGAGAGACAGAATGAGCAGTGGGGAGGGGCAGAGGGAGAGAAAGAGAGAAGCAGACTCCCCGGTGAGCAGGGAGCCCAATGTGAGGCTCGATCCCAGGACCCCGAGATCATGACTTGAGCTGAAGGCAGACACTTAACCGACTGAGCCACCCAGGTGCCCCAAGTTCCAAAACCTTTATTCTAAAGATGGGAAGGCAGAGGATCAGAAGGTGAAATGATGTGTTTGAGGGCCTGACCTTGTCAAGAAGAGACACAACCGCATTTTCACTATACATTTCTACTTACAGTTATCTTTGTCTCTTGGCAAGAAAATCCTGGGTTGTTTGTAGTTTTCTGAATGAAAGGAAGATTAGAATAAGATTAGTATTTGTTCATTTTGCATAAATCCATCTTGCTCGCAAGTTAGATCCATAATAACTTAAAAGACGTCACAGGAATGGTTCTTAAACAAATGGTTTCGGTTAGAGGTACATATTCATTGTTTATTTTCAAGAACATTAATGATGGTGATAATACCAACATCGTTATGTAGCCACTGGTCAGTATTCATTCAGGGCTTCATTACGGTGTGGAGGGGACCATAGACTTAGCACCCAAGAACTGACTCTTAACGTCCCATTTTTGCTTTTTAGGAACTGTGTGACCCATAAAGTGAGACAACAGTAGTGGCCACTTCAGCTCACAGTGCATAATTGTTGAAGAATAAATATGCTTATGAAAGATCTGTTTAATCCGTGAAATACTATAAGACATAAGCTATTATTATCACAGAAAATAATTCTAATAATATTTCCCCCGTGTTGCTGAAAACAAACTTTTAAAGTCACAAGAATGTAGGTCACGTTTTCAATTAAAAAATGTTAGCTTTTCAATAAGCATTGCATTGCAGTGGAGAAAAAATAGTCATGTTGAAATTCCAAATTATGTTTACAGAAATGATACCGGAGTGTTTGTGTCTGACATCGTCAAAGGAGGGATTGCCGATGCTGACGGAAGACTGGTGCAGGGAGACCAGATACTAACGGTGAATGCAGAAGACGTCCGGCATGCCACCCAGGAAGCTGTGGCTGCTTTGCTGAAGGTAAAGGTCAAACGCCGGCAAGGACTCTGTGCAGTAGGATGGAAGGAGGAGGAGATACTAACTGGGCCACTTCGGTCAAATAAGCACTGAATCCTCCTTATTTAAAATGTTATCTCAAATAAGACACATTTCTAAGTAAGATGCCAAATTTTAGTGATAAATTTCTAACTAATAATAGCTCTTTATTATATTATGTATTTTCTGTCATTAAATGTCAAATGAAAGACTTTTCAGTTTTCAAGGTAGACATCCCTGAAGGCCCTACAGCTGGTAAATCACATAGGATTTAAAACCTGTATGTCTAACTCCAGAAACCCAGGATCTCAAAATACCTCATTGTGCTTTCTCCTTAGACAATATAGTATTTTTTGCATGCCTAGGATTTATTTGTCAGAGGTCACAGGGAAGTTGTCTTCAATTCTTATTTTGTGTTTTTAGCATTATGGCTTCTTTCAGTATTGTGTAATAGGTCTGTTCAGGTGCAGTGTGGTAGTAGAGTTTGCCCAGTTATCTGTTAAGGACAAAAGTTGTTGTGGTCATTGTTGTATTGTTTCAGTTTTTGTTTTTTAAGCCCTGAGTTAGTACATTTGGCCTATCTAACCCAATATGTTTCATGAGACAGTTGCTCGATTCTCAGTTTCTCTTTAGCTCGGCACCAACAGTCTCCCTGTAAATCATGAGGCCATGAGATAGACGCTGGGTGTTGCCCCTGCTGCTGCTTGTTGTTACTCTCCTTTATGTTTTAGAAAAACCTCCTTCCACAAAGGATTGGAGGTGTCCTTGACTATGGAAATCCCAAAAGGAGGAGGCCTTTCAAAAACCTTATCCTAAAGAGTGTATCTACTCCCGAAGATGATTATAGGATCTTGTTTGACCATTTTCCTAAAACAACCACTCCCCTAGTGTTCCCTAGGCACAGTGACCTTGGAAGTTGGAAGAATCAAAGCTGGTCCATTCCATTCAGAGAGGAGGCCTTCTCAGAGCAGCCAGGTGGGTAGCTGTGGGGTTCATCGGGTGATGCAGTCCACGTGCTGGAGCAGCTCTGAGATGGCCCTGACCGTGGTCCGCACGCAGGCCGGGCCTCTTGCAGCTCAGCGCAGTGGGCTGCAGACTCTGAGGTGGGGAAGAGCATCGGGTGAGATGGGACAGGTGAATGAGATGGGGCTCTTGAGTGGTTTGCAAGTCATTCTCAGGAACTTCATTTCAGCCATTCTTTTCTTTTTCCATAATTGTACAAGTTAACCAATTAATATCTGTAAAGCCTGCCGCCGTGATATATTTTTAAAGTATTTTATAACAAGCATTCAACTAAAAAAATGCCACGTAAGGTGAACTGTAGAAGCTCACCGCCCTGTATGAAGCTCACCGTTGTGTCTGTTCAAGATTGCCGGCATGCCGCTCTCCTTACTTTTGTCTTCATCAACCTGTCCTTAGAGAACCTTTACTCACCCCTTCAAGACTACCATTCATTTCCTGTTGACTGGCCCTAATTTTACAGTTTTTTCATAAGCCCCAGTGTTTGTACAACATCAGTTTAAATTTAACTTGAATGAAACTGTGAAATCCACTGAAATTTAAGTTGGTTGGAATCAATCTCATCCATTCTTTTAGCTTTAATTTATTTATGTCACTAGGCAAATTATTCCTTAAAAAGAAAATCATTAGATTTCAAATTATCAAATGTCACTGTTGCTTCACAGATATTTCTCTCTAGATGTATTAAAAGAATTGAATTCTGAAATAAGTGGTATTTAGGGGATATTATTACTTCAAAACTTTCTAAAATAATTGTTGTGTGTTTGTAGATGAGTGAAGGCAGCCTGTCATCATTCACTTTTCCACTTTCTGGATCCAGTACCTCTGAGTCACTGGAAAGTAGCTTGAAGAAGAATGCATGTAAGATTGGTTTGACATTTTAAGCATGATTTACTGGTTTGAATTTTGGTACCCGACACTGATTTTTCCCCTGTATCAGTTTACCTTTGAGCTCTCTTTCCTCAAATCATTTCATATCCTAATATGGGTGCAGAGGTGTGTGTCGGCAAAAATTCTGAGCAATATGAAGCTGCGCCTTTGTTGTTTAGTTTTTCCATTTGTTGTTTTTTCTATAAGATATACTAAATGTTAGAATCAGAATTCTGTAATTTTTTCTTACTAAGCAGACGGGTATGCTTGATTTTTATTTCCTTTTTCTGTTTAACGCCAATAATTCAGAAGATGCCATTAAGTGATAAGCCTTCTTTTTCCATGAAGACTGCAAAAATTTTGATTGAGAAAATTAGTATGATCCTCCTGTGTTTTAATTACATGAAATCATGATGCAGAGGGTTTTTTGGCTTGGAGCATTGGTTGAAAGTTGTTCAAATTGAAGAACTAACCATATGGCAATCTCTGTTTGCAATGTGACTAATAATCTAGAAATTTAGCCACTTAAGTCCATGAATTCCTTTTAATGTGTCCATGACTTTATTTTTCTCAGCTGTGTACTTTCTATCCAAAGCCTATTCTGCCCTTGACTCATTGAAAGTGGATTATGCAGTTATATAATCAATGATTAAAATAAGAAGGAAGAAATGGGGTAGTGTGCACATTTTTCCAACTGGAAAAATAAAGATTCCCTATGTGAGACAGATTTAATCATGCGTACTGGCAACTTTGAGCACCCTCTTTAAAAAAGAAACAATTAGTATATCTCATTTAGGTCCTATTCTAGCTTCAGGCATTGACTAAAATTTAATTGAATACTTTAATAACCATATTTTTTTTCACTTTACAGTGGCATCTGAAATACAGGGATTAAGAACAGTTGAAATAAAAAAGGTAACTTGGGAAGAGAAAACAATATAAACTCTGTTGACCTCAGAGGCATCTCCATATGTATTTTCCTATTAGCTGTCTCACTGTTTTACCATACCATCAGAAAAATTATGTGTTGTATACAGTGGAAATACCACAGTAGTCTTCACTGAATTTCCTGGTTACAGGACCTTGTATGAAAAATCACTGGCGGTGTATCCTATGTTGCCAAAAATGGCATCCACCCAACCCCACACAAAGTGTTGCCCCACCTCTCACTTCTCATACTGCGAAGCAAGCCTCTGCCTTCCACAGATACTTCTTATTCTCGTGAAACAGATTCCCCTGACAGCCATGCACAAGAGAACATAAAAGCAGCTACAGTTTATTGAGCCTTTGCTATCTGCTGAGCATTCTTGGAGATGCATCATCATGCTATCACCATCTCCTGCACTATCTTCTGCAAGCCCCCTGCTAGGGCTCCTCTGATTTCCGTTTTGTCATTGAAGGTCTAGTGACTCATTAACAGGGCTGAACTTGGTCAGGTCCCAACATTTGTTAAGTGTGGGTTCCTGGCTTTGAATACAGATCTCTCTGATTCCAAAATTGGGGTCTTTCTCTTCATCAGTGTACCCGCTTTTCATCACCCCCACAGCATGATTTTCATTTAATGTGTTTTGATTTCTTTTATTTCCTGGACAGATGCTTATTTTCCTAGGTCACACTAAGGACCCGTGTCAAATGAAGTAATACAGTTTTCTTGAACTTCATTTTCCTCACACCTCAAAGACCTGAGTTAACTGTAGGACATCGGGCCAAAGACACCAAACATCAATTTAAAATACCACATTGACCGAAATATTTTAATCTCTTGCATGGCAGGGGCCTACTGACTCACTGGGAATCAGCATTGCTGGAGGAGTGGGCAGCCCACTTGGGGATGTTCCCATATTTATTGCAATGATGCACCCAAATGGAGTTGCAGCTCAGACCCAGAAACTCAGAGTAAGTTCTACTATTAACGGAGGCAGCCCTCACGAATCTGGCAAAAGTTCTATAAGCCCCTTGGATGCGCCACTTGCTGCAGCCAGTTTTCAATGTCTGTATCTGCATTTAAATATGCTAATCCGACCACAGCAGGGTTTGCTTTGAGTAAAGGTGAAGAAAAGGAAGAGAGGAGAATTTGCTGTGGCATGCAGATTGACAAGTAAATAAGACGGGAAGATCTCCTGTTGCTTCTTAGTAGTTTTTACTTGTTTACGACTCTGAAAGAAGGTAAAACAAAGTGTTTCAGAACACCAGTATGAGATGAAATTTTCTCCTTTATATGTGTCACTGGTTTAAATGCGAGTTTAACATCATTAAATTGAAAACTATCATTTATGTTGCAATTGATCATCCGTTTTGCAGAAGTTTAATATAAATGTGACTTACGTTGTGAAACTATACAAAACGTGCTTCACAGTTGAGGGATTATGCCAAGGTAGAGCCCTATTTATGCTGACTGTCCAGGTCTGGAATCATGTGAATGTTCCATTCAAGCCTCGATGACATAAAATCTGCATGGCCTCATGGGTCACAAAGTGTCTCAAAACATAACCACCTCTTAGTTTAGTCCCTAAACTAGAAATGGTTCAGTCCCTTTTGATATCTGAATCTGTGACTGACTGACACTTAAAAATTGTTTGTTGTACATAGCAGAAAACTTTTCGGTGAGGGACCGATCATGAATACTTGGGTCTTTGTGGGACAAGCGGGTCTCTGTGGCAGCGACTCAGCTCTGCCCTGTGAAAGCAATGAATAAGCAGGGCTGTCTTCCATCCAAACTTTGTCAGCAAAAACAAGCAGTGGGCCAGACGTGGCCTCAAGTCACAGCTGACTGAGAGTCCCAGCTAACGTGCGTAATAATAACATCCAGAGAAATTCTGGTTTTTAAATGCTGTCAGATATTTTATTCTTTAATAAGAAGCAGTGTCTTACCCAGGAGAAATGAAGAGAAGGGAAGAGTGATTTTCCCCCGGAGACTACCGAACTCCATCATCATGGACAGCTTCTTTTCATTGTGGCCACTTCTTGAAATGATTGGCTTCCTTGGTTGTATTTCAGTTGCTGAGGGCAGTGCGTATGTGATGTGCCAGGTAGAGAAGGAAATGACTGTTCAGGTCTCAGGGTCCCACTTGCCATGGCTGCTCTAGCAGATGGCTGGTTTCTTGCCTCCTTTGCAGGTTGGGGACCGGATTGTCACTATCTGTGGCACTTCCACTGAGGGGATGACTCATACCCAAGCAGTCAACTTACTGAAAAATGCCTCGGGCTCCATTGAAATGCAGGTAAGAGTTGTATCCCAGGCACTCTTCACGGTATGGGTTGCTTGAGGACACAGGAGCTTTAAGCATTAAAGCAGTAAAAGTCCTTAAATCTCCTGATAGCATTTTATTCAATATTTCCTGTGAACATAAATGATTTCACTGAGAGTTCCAAGAAAGTATGTATGAAACATTTTATCCTGATGCATTCTTTGTTTCATACTTTATATCTAAAGGGAAAAAAATACAAGGTCTTAGCAGTAAATGATTAATTGCTAGAATGTTAAGTGGTATGAGTGGCTGTGTATTCTGAAGTTCTTTAAAAAATAATTGCATGTGAGACCATGTTTGAAAAACATCAAAGAACTTTGCAGAATTGAATTACTAAAAGATTTTTCCTGTCAGTTGAAGAGGCCTCTGGACCTTGTGAAATTTCTCTTTGGTTGTATATCAGGTTCACAGAAATGATTAAGTGGACAATAAAGTACATGTTTTGATCCAAATGCTGCATTTGAAGGAAAATTACTGATGTCTCCCTGGCCACAAGAACACGTGTTTTTCTCTTTGTGTTTCTCCTGCACGTAGGTGGTTGCTGGAGGAGATGTGAGTGTGGTCACAGGTCATCAGCAGGAGCCGGCCACTTCTAGTCTTTCTTTCACTGGGCTGACATCAAGCAGTATATTTCAGGATGATTTAGGGTGAGTGCATATATTGTGGTTTCTATGTCCCTACCACTCACATAAAGGTGAAGAAACAGGAGACGTAGGAGATACAAAAACCAAGTATTTCTAAATTGTTAAATAATTGTGGCATGGATTTAGTTTATCAGGTGGAGACAGATAGCATGCCACTACCCTTCCCACGGTTTTGGCTCTGAGTTTTTTGGGGGACATTTTAGTCTTGACATCACTATCCTTTTGAAATTCCAACATTGCCAACTCATTTAATAAATCCTTTTGATTAAAAAATTCACAGTTCCCCAACACGTGAGCGCAAAAGAGTTAGATCATAAAGAAGAGGGGAAGAGAGGGACATATGAGAATTTTTAAATAATTTGATGCAGTCTTTACATGGCTAGTAATGGATTTTTCTCTCTGAGCTTGGGAGTCCTGATGTTTGTGATTTACTCCACGGTAGACCTCTGTGCTGTAGCCTTCTTCCTTTAAATAACCTGGGAAAAGAATGTACATGCATGCAATGAGAACTTGTCGTGAACATGTTAGTTTAGGGGAACTGTAAATGAGTAATAGAAGTAGGGTGTTAAGTAGGATTTTGTTGGATTATGTAAATTTAAACTACTGAGCGCAGCATGCACGGACAGTTCAAGCATCCCCAAAATACCCGTAATAAACTCACTGTCAGTAGCCCTGAGCTTTACACTGGTTGTAGGTGGGTGTCAGATAGTCCATAACTTACAGATATGATTTTAAAAATCGAAAACCTCTTTTTTTTTTTTCTTTCTTCCCTTTACTGTAGACCTCCTCAGTGTAAATCTATTACACTAGACCGAGGACCAGATGGCTTAGGCTTTAGTATAGTCGGAGGATATGGCAGCCCTCATGGAGACTTACCCATTTATGTTAAAACAGTGTTTGCGAAGGTAAGCTTGCACATTTTAACCACCCCCTTGCCCCCTAAACATTCATTAATAGTGGTCAGCAGCTGGCTTATTAGTTTATGGCCTGAGGTAACGCCAAATGGTTAACAGTTGATCATTTTCTTTTGGAACTCCCTTTAGGAACAGGTCATTAAATATTTTTGTCCAATTTGAGGTTTAGTTATGTTTAAAGGAAAATAGGCTCAAATCGAAATTCCATGGGAACTCTTGACAATATGCAATAAAAATATTAATGAACTTTAGTTCGACAGGAAGACCTGATTTTTTTGTCCTTTGAAAACAGGTTGCCTCTGATTGATTGTCTTTTGAAAATGGGACATTTTAAATATGTATGCTGTAGAGTGCTGGCATTTCTTTTCCTTTGTGGGTTTTTTTTTTTTTTTTGGTTGTGAAATATAAAATAGACATGGAAAAGTACAGAAAATAGTTACACAGGTTAAATATCTAATAGGGCGTTTATTTTGCAGTTTAATGTTATTGAATAAAATAGAAAATTAACAACTGAAAAAATTGCAGAGTATCCAGAAGTTCTGTCACCTGTAGTAAATCAGCTATTTGCAATCAGGGAATTCAGTTTTTTAAAAAATTGCATTTAGTTGTAATGATACAGTAAGTATTCTATTTTAAGGATGTTTAGAATAAGAATAAATTTATTGCAACATTGGTGAAGCCGTTAAAATAATTCAGACCCCTATAATTATTGTTAATATGTTCTTAAGACATTTTTTCAGGAGCTCCAAAATTGAACATAATTTCCTGCAGGAGAAAATCTGGAATCTCAAGATTTTACAGGGCAAAGAAGCAAACCTTATGGCTGACCTATTAAACAGTTTGATCCAGGGTTTTAGATTAGTGCTGTCGTCCTTTAAAGTGCCTACCTGTGGAGGTTTCATTCCATTATTTTGAAAAAGAATTATTATTTTTAACCAACTTAAAGTGCTGTATCTACAGCAACCTAGTTATAGGCTTAATTTATGAGATTTTTTAAAAGCCATTGGTATGTCCAAAAATACAAACAGCATTTGTCAGTGAATAGAAGAGTCATGCAGTCCTTTTCCTCAGCCTTGGAACAATTTATTTAAGGCATGCTAGTTAGAACATATTTTAAGAATTTCATCATTATGGATTCCTCATTAACTTTTCCATATTTTTAATCTTCTATTTAATTGCATAATTGCCTACTCTAAGCATGCCTTAAGATGGGATGCTTTTTCACACAGCAATGTCTGTGTTTAATCTGAATCATTTAAGGCCCATAAGAAATATGAAGACTCCACACGCCCTGGGGAAGTAAAGAACAAGCAGCTCGAGGAGCCTATTCAAAGCCGCAGAAAGAATTACAGTTAGATTTTGTAGGACTCGCCTACTGCCCTGCCCTTGTCAACGTGCGTGTGGGCTTCATGCTTCTGCAGACCTTTGGGTTCTGTGGCCTCATGCCCTTGTCCTGTAAAACTGCTTTTGTTCCTGTCTAGTCCTTTGTCGTCTTCTGTAAGCCTTCTTTACAGGATAAAAAACCCTGGATTCTATGAAATCATTCCTGCTAGGCAAATTCCCAAATATTCTTTATTAATTTGAATTCCCACCAACTGCTGTGCCGAACAGCCAAAAACCATCCAACTAATCTATTGACTGCTGAATTCTCTCTGAAATTGGAATCTCCGTGCTAAAACCATTTAGGAGCAAGACCTCCTTTGTGTCTGTTCATCATTGCTTAATGACTGTGGAGCACCCAGGGAGCACCGAGAGCAATGTGTGTGTACATGCAGAGCAATTTACATTCTTGTTTAGATCTTTTTCTGTTGTGTAGCTGCGAGGCAGCATTTTTTGAGAAGCAAACAAGCCTGCTTTATAATTGCAGGGAGCAGCCTCGGAAGACGGGCGTCTCAAAAGGGGTGATCAGATCATTGCTGTCAATGGGCAGAGTCTGGAAGGGGTGACCCACGAAGAAGCTGTGGCCATCCTCAAGCGGACGAAGGGAACTGTCACTTTGATGGTTCTCTCCTGAATTTACTGCAGAGTGGGGCCAACTCAGCCCCCTGCTCCCATCCCACACTGTGAAGGGAATGGAACTGCTCTTGCGGATAACTTTCCCCTGCACCGTCTTCATCAGGCTCTTCAGAACTTGGGGGGGAAGTACCATTTAAGTTTTTTTTCTCATGTGGAAATGATTTTCTGGCAACCTAGCATCATTTTTCCTTTCTCCTTGGATTTTGTGAACATAAACTCAAAGGGAAGGACTGTGTGCATAGATAAACCCAATCTTCGTAAAGATGTCTGACATTCGGCAGTCACATGTGCAGAAATTATGATGTGCTGAACTGGTTAGTAGAGAAAGAAAAAAAGCGAAAACTAAGAAATGGCTTTAGTAAATTAGGGTGAGAATGAAAATATAAAAGAAAAAAGAAAATCTCAAGTTTTATATAAAAAATGCTTCATTCTTGTCAGTCCCAACTCCTCCCCATTTCTAACTAGAAAAGAAAATAAAACATTTTTCTCTATTGAAAATCCTTAAAAATACTCTGTATTAAAAATATTTGAATATTATAAAAAATTGCATATCCCCCCCTTTAATATACCCATACATATTTTCCTCCTAAAATGGGTTTCTAAGATTGAGTAAATAGCAATTATATGAAGCAGTGTCCCTAAGTTGGTAAAGAACACAGCTGATGCAAATCTTGATGTTCATTTTTATTTTTGACCTGTTACGAAATATTTTCATGTTTCTGTAAGTAAGATGGTGATGCCACCCACTATTGACTGTGGTTTCTCTAGAAAGCAGCCGTGCTAGCCACGGAGGAACATGGAAGTCTCTCAGAATCTTTAATGCTGGTTTTAACCGATGCAACACTAAAAATGCATGCTGTGCAATTGGTTTTCAGTTACTATTAATCTTAATGACAGAGAAAAAAGCAATGTGTTAGTAATTATTTTGGTTGTGTGCCATTAGTAAATTGATAGAAAAATTAAGGGGATTAACATAACTTCATTTCATTGCCTTATATTAACATCTTATAATACAATAGTTTAAGACTAAGGGAAACAGATGGAGCTGTTTATTGAGACAACTGGTGAGGAATTATCATGTGTTCATTCCCATTTTAGAGCGTGAAACTCCTACATTAGAATATATAAAGTCACTTTAAATATTATCTATATTTGTAACAGAAGTAGTGTACAGATATTTTATTACAGCACTTTTGTGTAAATGGAGAACCGAAGTGAATAAATAACAAGTTTCATGGTGCACAAATAAAGAAACAGGCGTATTTTTTTGTTCTTTTTACTGGGAAAAAGCTTCACTATATTGTTCATGATTTACAATTTAAAACTGGTTTTTATCATGTCTAACTGAGCATATGGTGTCCATAGTTACCATCAGAACTTTGGACACCATCATTATGAAAAACTCGATGTTTCTTAGGTCCAGAAGTTTTACTAATACCGAAGTGTCCTCTCTCTATCTGTTTTTCTGACGAGCTATGTTAATGCAGTAATATTCTAAATTGTTCTTGGGGGTAGTCAAGAGCTAAAGCGAGTTCAGAAAGAAAAAGTCATAAGTTATTTGTGTTAATAGAGGCAAAAAGTCTGATTTGAACACTGAGCGAGGAATTGGGGAACATTTGTTCTGCTCGTTCTTGCCCCTCACTAGCTAATGCATGTGTGCATTCTGTCTGATTCACTCATCTGTAAAATGATAGGTCATCTTATCTCAAAGCTTGCATCCAGTTCTAAAATAGAAGCATTCTATGATTCTTATACAGAATGGACAGGACCATACATTGCAACAATTCAGGAGGTGTTCTCCCCGGCATTCTATGGTAGACTTGAGAGGAGCAACTTAACCAACCAAATTAAAGTTTGAGTAAATATGTGGGAGTACCCCAAGGAGAACAGTCCCAGGTAAGTGTACTTGCCTGAGTAGCATCTCCCCAAAACTCACAGCCACGAGGAACCATAGAACGTGATCTCATTTGGAAATAGGGGCTTTGCAGATACAGTTAGTTAAGATGAGATTGTGCTGGGCCCTAAATCCTTAAGGCCTTAGCAAGACACAGAGACATAGGGGAGGAAGACCATGTAAAGATGGGGCCAAAAAAAACAAAAAAAAAAAACGCAAGACCACCTTGGGAGCTACCAGAAGCTGGAAGAAGCAAGGAAGGATTTTTCTCTAGGGTTTTCAGAGGGAGGTTGTCCCTATTGACACCTTGATTTCAAACTTCCGGCCTCCAAATCTGTGAAAGAATGAATATCTGTTGTTATCATCCACTCAGTTTGTGGTACTTTTTTATGGAGGCCTGGGAACACTAGTAACTGTCTTAAATGTTTTTATATTCATAGCTACCATCATTGTACCTGGCTAACAGGAGAAGAGCCGTACATGTGTGTTGAGCATGCAAATGATTAAATTATAGGTCATGATTCATTTCATGGTATTAATATTGTTTTAATTAGCTATAAATGCAGCCTTTATGCTAAATGCAGAAAAACAAAACAAAACAGTGGGCATGCCATTGTAGGGCTATAGAAACACTGAGGAAAACCTAACCTCCTGAACTGCTACTCATTAACAAAGTCAGCACAGGAAAGAGGAGGGAGGGAGAAAGGAAGGGAAAGATTGAGAGGAATAGATAGATGCATTAGCATTGGAGAGACGTGACAAAGGTTTATGCTTCCTGTATTATTATTTTGTGTAAATATAAGAGTTCTCTGCGGAAGAAAGTGTTTGAGCAAAGAGTTTGAGGACTTGAACCTTAAGACAGTGAATTACTCATAACAGGTGCCATATAATTGCTCGTGTGATTGAATCACACTGGTGAATACTGCACATTTCTGGTGTTCTTTGTGATCCCTCCCAAAGGACAATGATGATCTATAACACTAAGGATAACAATAATAATAAGGGGTTTCATTTCAGCTCCACCTGGTCTGTAGCTGTGGGAGTCGAGACGTGGTGTCCAAGTCCGTAGGCTCCATACATCGGAACAGGGATGGAGTGGGGAGCATGAAAACATGAAAATTCATGAAAGACGAGACAAGATTTGGGACAGCTTTTTGTTTTTGGGCATAGTGGTAAAGCAGAGCACGATAGGTTTGGTGAAGCAAAGGAAGCTCTTCCTTGCTCTTAGGTGACCGGCCCTACGTTGCCTTAGGTCTGGTCAGCTGGCTTCTTGTCTGACGATGGCGTGCACTGATTGACGGGCTTTCTTGGTGAGTAGAGAAGTTGAAAGGATGCCTGCAGGGAGACAGGACTAAACAGCTTTTTTTGGGGGGGGGTCCTAGGTGCAGGAATGTCAAAACTATCATCACCTGCTTTCAGCAGCCCTGGTGTGTTGTTTCATGCCAGTGGCAAGTATTCTGGAATGCATGTGATTTATGCAAAGATGTTCCTCAATTTTGTCTACTAGGAATTAATGTTTAACTTTGACCTTAAAAGAGAGTTATTTGTAAGGCAGGATCAGCCTCTGTCACCTCAAATGGAAAAAAAAAATTGTAGGCGACAAGAAAATTTCTAAATGAAAGAGCATGAAAACTAGATAGAGTAAATGTTTTAAAGGTGACTTTTGAATACTTGATATTGCGGCTGCTTTTTCGCTTCAGAATATAGGGAGGTAGTCCATATTGTTCATTTTGATGATTCGAAAAAATTGTATTATCTGAGAATTTTACTTATTGGAGAAGTACTGAAAGTTCAATAGTGGGCCCTTAGAAAGAATTCTGTCAAAAAGGAGGCAAATCTGTGGCACTGATCTCAAAATTCATTAAAAATGTTTCTTGAGGATTCTGAAAGTACTACCATCAAAAGACTGCTTTGGGCGGCTTCTAGGAGGAGCTTCAACTTGTTCATTTAACACTGGACATTTTTTCAGAGGGTTGTGTCCTTTGAGAATACTTGTTGGTGATCCTTTCTCCTTCCCTCCCCTGCCCTCCTCCTCTTTGCCTGCATACATATTTTCAGAAACAGCACACTTGTCCTTGGAAGACATACTTTCTCTCTCATTTCTTTTCTTACTGATGTATTAAAAAACTACGATTTTTTTTTTCTGAGTCTACCTTGAATGATTTCACATCCAAAGTTCCACTCCCCTGAACTTCATTAACCCAAAGGCACTTTATTCCATTCGATGAGACGTACAGATTTCCCTTGCTCTGGAAAATCCAATGAGATAACTGTATAAAACATTGATACCGTGCATAGGATAATCTGTCAAGAAATGGCAATAGTTGTGCATGTGTTTTATATCCCGGGAGACAGAGGGTAATATAAATTCAGTAGCTTTCTTTAATAGCTTTCACTTCTCATTTTTGTGTAATAGTGTCCTTTTCCTCTAAAGTGGGGGCAAATCAATTTATACCAAAATTTCAGTTGTCATACAATCCATGTTTTCCATATCCTTGTGGAACTCGTTTAATATTTAGTAATTAACAGTATTTTTAACTTAAATGTGCTTACAAGAGGAATTGTATCTCAGTACTTTAAATGGAAAACTAATATCATTTGCCATAAGTATAAAGTAACTACAAGCAAAACTCACTTTATTAAATTCCATCAGGATACTCTTGCCTACGAAGGGTCAGAAGGCCTGCTCACTTTGCTGGAAAGGGAGAAATAAATGTTAAAATGGTGGTAATGACTCAGCAGGTAACTTTTTTCTTAAAGGAACTGAAGGAAAATACCTTTCCATTATGTGATTCAGTATTTTCTAGTGCCTTGTCATTACCACCTACAACAGAGATCTCAGCAGATACTCCCTCTTTGGGAAAACTCTATGATACCAAAGTCAGGAAGGTTTTGTTTATAGGCTCCTTTTTTAAAATGTGAAAGCAAGCCAGTCAATTCCTGTTCTTAAGAGTATTCTTGCTAATGAGATTAAAATTTTGTTTATAAGGCTTTCTCTAAAACCAGAATTGGGTCATCACCTCCAGTGCTTTTGCTTTGGCAGTCTGAGTTTGAAATAAAGGACAGATGACATAAATTAATGGAGTAAAATTAATGTTGTGGTAATATTAAATAAAGCTAATGCCTCTTGCACCTGGAGGGCTATGCAGATGGCAGGCATACCTAATTATGCACCCTGCTGCCTTTAAGTGTATTGATAAAAATCTCTCAGCTGAGTTTAAAATATGTTCATTCACTGACTCCAGACAAGTTTGAGTGAAGCAATACAATACATAAAAAACACAGCCTGATATACTTATTTTTTAAGGAAAAAATGCAATTCTCTAAGTTAAATGAAATAAATATTTACCTGATTTTAAAAATGAGTCATTACTACAGTCATGTTCTCTTGTCCTTTCTGTGAGTATTAAAATATATGTCAACTCCATAAGAAAAAGACTGCTCTCAAACCAGTAAGGGAGTACTTAAATTTAAGTTTACATTTTACTGGCTGCACATTAGTTAAAAAGATAAATTTACTAAATGAATCCTAAAAAAGTTTACTTGATTTCTCACTGTAGGTACAAACTGGATTGGCCAAATATCACTCAGATATTCAGAAACTTGTTCAATATTTTAAGAAGTAGCTACTCTGGGAAATAGGTCAGTATAATGAAGTATTGAGACAATTTGTTTTGCTACAGGTATTTCAAAGATGTCACTGAACTTTGTAGAACTTACTGTGAGTACTCTTCATTTAAGAAATGTGAATTCTCATGAAATTCGGTTTGTGGCCATTGGCTACCTATGCAGTTAAATGGACAACCAGCATCTTCTAGTTTTAGCTTCAGAATTGTATCTCAGTACTTTAAATGGAAAACTAATATCATTTGCCATAAGTATAAAGTAACTACAAGCAAAACTCACTTTTTTGAGTGATTTTTTAAATGCCTTCATGAGATTTGTTATACACACCTATTATTTCTCTTACAATCAGATATATATTTGTTACCCACATTTTAAAAATAAAAAGACAAACTCTTCTTTTTCAGACATAGTGTCCACCAAAATAGAAGATGTGGTGCTAGGCATTCATCGTATGATAAAGGATGCTGGCCCACTTTTAAGAAAAAGTGGGGTGGGGAGAAAAGAAGTGGGTTTTTTAGTCAAAGGAGCATATAATTTCTTCATCTTTTCATCTCAAAGTTAATAAATAAAGGAACTGTACATTTAAAATTTATATTTGTAATTTTATTGCCATCTGGATAACAAGCTGGGGATTATTTACATCCTATCTACCTTAATTTCTAAGTCCCTTGCTCTTATTCCTTCTATTTGGTAGTTGATTTTTTTCTGAAGTTTTTCCTCTCTGTACGTTACG